TTCTTGATTTTAAGGGGTGCAAGAAAACATAAAGAATATACACAGTTGGCCACACATTTGGTTCACTTCTGTGACGAAATGTAAATGTAGAGAAATGCAAATTGTCTTATAGAACAATGGCCGAGCTTCAGGGACAAGAAAACACTGAATTTGTCAAAAAAGAAGAATAGCAAGTCTTTTTGATTGTTAAAAATTATAAAAAATACAGACAGAGAATTGTATAAAAAGTTTCCTAAACATGAAGTTATCAGCTCAGAATTCAAATCCAAATAACTAATGTTATAGTTACTAAATGTACTATTGGGTTGCCAGTTTACGAGAAGACAGAAAAGGGTTTCTTTAAGGGAAAAGGTTGGGAACCACTGGCCTAGAGGTTAGGGAAGCAAGAAGTAACCAGGCGGTCGTCGGTTCAATTCCCAGACCAGAAGCCACCACTGCCCCCCACCACTCCAGTGGAGCTGCTCAGTGTCCAGTGTCTCACTGTCAGACTGCACTTCCTCTCAGTGAACTCACCCTGAATAAATAAAGGTTATAAAAATCCTTATCTGCTCCTGTGTGATTTCCTAACATGATTTTTTCCAGATGAAATTCACTGCTGAACACAAGTAGTGAATATTACACTGCAACAGTGACTCAGCATCTGTGTCCAAAGTGTACAGACATACAATGCACATTAACTTATATAAGTACAATACTATGATTCTATACACGGTGAAGAAATTTCAAATAAGCGGTGTAGGAAAACTCTTTAATTAGTACAGTAATTCAGCACAGTCATTATTTTAGGTGAACATTTAAACTTCATCTGATTTTTGACCACAGCTTATTTCTGGTGTAATAATCCTGGCATATTATCACATGTTAGCAAAGTAGTGTTAATCTGAAGTTGTGTTTGTGTCCACGTGATCAATGTAAGCCCCATAATTAATCTCCTTTCGGTTTTTACCACCTCTTGCCACCTCTGTAGCGTGCTGTGGCTTTTTTATTGCTTTTATCTGAAAACAGCTGCCAAAACTTTGGACTTTGCTCATTCCAGACAGCAGCCGTAGTGAGCTCGGATTCATAGTGGCTACAATGAATTCACAAATAAATAAATAAATAAATAGTGCCAAAATAGCCAGTGAAACTTCTAAAACCACACTGACATTTTAATAAACTTCTCCGCTGTTGACTAATATGTTCCAATAGTGTCACACTTCCTACATCACCTTTCCATCAGGTAGAAGATTTGTTTATTTCAGATGACATTAATTGTCACTAGATGTTCCTGATAAACTGACAGTGTATGTTTTTATACTTCTGTGCCACATTTAGAAAGAAATATAACTTCCATGTCCACTGGCAGTATTTTAGGTGTCATATCAGGAGCTATACTGCACAAATTTACACTCAAGTGGGAAGTAAAATACAAGTAAATGTTCAGAAAATCTCGAAAATGTTTCCATTTCTCTGCTGTGAGTGTGAGGAGTTGGACACTTCGAGATAAACAGCTGGTGGCGCTAATTCTCCAGTCGGAAGCATTAAATCATGCAAAAAGAAGAGACAGAAACAGGATGACGTAACGGAAAGAGTCGGACCTCAAATGATTGAAAACAATGTAGAGAAAGTGAAATATGACATTTAAATTTTTGCTTTATATATTAATGTGAAGAAGGTCCACTCAGATCTGATATTTTCACAATGTTTCAGGGGTTTGAGTGACGTTAGAATCAGCTGTTGTTTCCATTGCACTTTCAAACTTATCAATAAACCCATTTTGTATTTGTCTTGTGTTGACTTTTGCACAAGGACCACAGTCTTTCCCTCACGTTAATAATGTTTTGAATTCCCTAAACATATAATTACATAGAGATACATTCAGTCCATACTGTACATTTAGCGATGGCAGACAGCAGTAAAGCTTTAGTATAAATGTGTCCTTGTCATGTTGATAAAAACCATAATGCAGACAGTATTACATTTCCAACTATTACTGCAAATCGGTTGTATGGAACTTTTCAGAAACAGGGCAGAGTGTGAAAAGGTTAAACTTATGCTCAATGAGTCCCTTCTAGGTCACTCAGTCTAAGTCTCCCTGGATGAGTTTGTCAGTTAAAGTAAATGGATCTGCACTCTTACTCACTTCATTCATTCATGGCTGATGTCAAAGCTGCGATGTCAGTGGGTAAAACCATTATCTGAGGAATGACGTTGCAGAGTTTCCAAGAAGCTACTAGTTTCCTGCTTCTTATGAAATGTTTGTGATAATAAATGTTCCACCCACCAGGATACAGAAGAGAGCTGCAAGCTGACACGTGAAAGTGAAATGTACAACCCCCCTTTTTTTGCTTTTAATGTAATTCTGTGTGTCCCAGTCCGAAGGCCGGCTTGGATTACAGATGCTGCATCAATTGCTGAACTGCTGAACTTTGTGCCAGTGAAAGTGATGCGGAAGCACGTCAGAACCGTTGCAGCAGTGCTGACTCGTTCATCCTCTTTCTGTCATCAAAGATACCCATATGGGGTAATGTGTGTTTGTTGGGAGGGGGTGAGGGGGGGCTTGTCCTCAATAGCGGTTTTCACAGGCCCGCTAATCATTTCCCCAACCACCCACGTTCCGGATATATTCTACTTTTTAAACTGTCTCTCTCTCTTTTCCGACCTCTGTTGAATGGAGGAATGTGAGGAATGCAGCAGTGAATGGGCGAGTGGGGGAGGCAGCATGCAAATGACAGACAGACACAGGTTTTTGTTTTTTTCCTCCGATATGAGCGCACAGAAAGTTAGAAAAACTTGCTGAATGTGTTCATTCTTACATTTATTACCAGCAACAAGAAAGCAAACAGTACGAGCGTGAAATGTTGCGAGCCAGCACCTGCACTAAAGCTTTCAGTAAAGGCATGAAAAGACAAATTTTGGCCTTCTCCCCATGGACGCTCTGACACACATCGACTATTTTTATAGATCAAACGCTCTGCAGCATGGTTTCTAACACACAGACTAAACTGCCGCTAATTTAAACCATCACATTAGGCAGGAATTCAGCATGACAGGCAGACAACAGCCAGATCTGCCCATTGACAATAACTGAAGCGTGAAATCAAAGCAAAAACCGAAGTAACAGGCGTGTCAGTGCTTCCTGTGGAATTTCTTCGGGATGTGGGAGTTTGGTGTTCTGTCTGAGGCCCCGACATGACTCTGATCTCATTCTGTTCCTCGGGGTTTGTGTCATCATCATATATGGACAGTTATGTTATGCAGCTGTAACTTTTTCCAACCAAAGCAGAAGTATGCTATGTTTTTCAGCCCCGTCTGTCTGCATTGTCTCTTTTTCCCCTTGTTGTTGGAGGGCTTTTATGGTCTTGGACGCACAGCTGGTGAATGATGTCAAAAATAGCCAAAAAGCTGCCGTCCCAGATGCCAGAAGCAGCATGTGGAAGGACACGGATGCCGCTTCAAAGCACATCAGGTGTTTTGTTACAACTGACAGTCGACTGTTATGGAGACACGGAAACAGCAATAACTCAGCAAGCAAAAAAAATAATATTGGAACAGTGTAAAAACAATTGCATCCAACATCACAATAAAAGATTACAATAATTTCAAAGCACCAGTGTGTAGGATTTAGTGGCATCTAGATGTTAAGTTGTAGATTACAACCATTTGAATACAGCTCATCCTTCCAAGTGTAAGAAACTACAGTGGCCACAAATATTTTGACAGTAGCTCAAAAGTTGAAAAATAATATCATCATAAGCCTGCATCTTTATGTGCACCAGTAAACACCAAGGATTGTATCTCACTCTGCAGATCAAAGCACTTGCAGGTTCAGGCTTTTTGATTTGGTTTCACTGGAAATCAACATCACAGAAGAAGTGACGTCGCCCGGTTGTGTGTCACATATAAAACCCTTTGAAGCAGCCTGACTGAAGTCATGTGTTGCAGCCAGTGGAAATGAAAGTACCTGCAATCTTTTTAACCTACTAACCTTTGGTGTCTTTACAATACTGCACGTCTTTGTTATATTGAAAACGTCAGCTCATTGTTAATGTCCTTTCCCATAAATGTCCATCTTAAACTCTCCGGCAAAGGAAAGCAGCCGAGCTTATTCACACTTAAAACTTTATTATGAATTCCAGTTTCTAGATAATATATTTATCAAACATCTGATGATGATTAACAGATTAGACAATAACAGTATGAAGCTACAGTGCAGGTTTTTCTTAATTTCCTTTTTTAATCATTAGTCACAGTTTGGGTTTCGGGATGCAGACACCCCCTCTGCACATCTAAGAGTAGGCTTAAGACGTTCCTCTTTGATAAAGCTTATCGTTAGGGCTTCCCATGATGCACTGCGCTCCTCCCCTCCCTCATATCCCATTAATGCACGCTACTAACTTCACTTGTTCCTCTGAGTTTTTGTGCTTTCCCGTCTCGCAGGTTCTCATGGATCCTGGTGGTGCTTGCTGACGTGTTCCTGCTTGACGCAGACTGATATTATTATTATTATTATTATCATTATTATTCATCATTCACCATTGGTACTGCTGTTATCATTATCATTTTTAGTCATATTTCCTCTGTTATGGGTGTTGCTGTTGTTACTGCAGTGTATCTTTGTCTTTCTCTCTCTAACACCAACTGGTTGAGGCAGACGGGCGCCCACGTAGATGGCCTCTGCCTCTTAAAAGGAAGTTCTTCCTTGTCGCCGTCGCCAAGTGCTTGCTCATGGTGGGAACAGTTGGGTCCAGACCTGCTCTATTTGAAAAGTGTCCTGAGATAACTTGTGTTATGAATTGGTGCTATGCAACACAACGTTTTATCGAACTGAAGAGAACAATAGGTTTGTGATTTCAGAGCTTCATAATTTGTGATACACACATATTCTGTTGGTAATCTGTTGCTGAAGTAGTTGTTGCCATTGTGCAGAACTAAGACACATTTTATAATGTATTCCTATGGAGTAACTCATAGTGACTAACAGCTGAATATAATATACAGAATCTTAAAAACTATAAGGATTTATATCAAATGCTCGGTGCCATTTTATTCAGAACAGCTTCAATTTCAATAACATGTACATTCATCCAGCGTAATACTGATACTTAACATGTACGAAGAACAATAAAACACACATTTCTATGATTTTTTAAAAAGAAAATCAAAACTTAATATAGCCTTATTAATGAGATTGAACTAAACATAAGCATGCCATGACTTTATAGACGCTTGAAACAAGTAGATAAAGAATATAGACATTTCCAGACATAAAATATAGTTATACTTAACTTTGAAGCTTTTATATATATATATATATATATATATATATATATATATATATATATATATATATATATATTTAGACCACTTTAATGAACATTTTCTCCTTTATCTCTACTTTGGCTGCCGTTGATGTTTGAAACTGGGTTGCGGGCCGATATTTGCAGGTTCTCATAGTTGGAAACATCAGGAGCGGGCATCGTTTTAGGCTGCTGGCGCTTGTTGGGGGAAAAAAAAACCTACATTAGAGTATTTTACACAGGAACACAGATAAATTATAACCAGCCATTTTCTCTGCCTGCCTGAGTTTACTCTGTTATGACCCCCTGTCTGTCTTTTGGACTCCTCTCTAGCCAGATCTCCTATTGGATACGTTTGCCTTCTCTTCCCTACCTCCCTGGTTTTGACTTCAGCCTGGTTTTGACCTTGACTTAACTTTAAAGTGTTGTTTTACCGGCCTGGACTCCAGAGTTGTTCTTTTTTGTGTTAAACCCAGATTTTAACTGAGCCTTTACATCTTGCAAGTAACTTTTATGGATACTTTAGCAGATTCTTGTTAATGGAAACATGTTCAGACATGAGCCAACATGTCCCAACCAGACCTTTTTTTTTTTTTTTAAATTCAGTGTGTTGACAAATTTGACCAGACATTTCCTGTATATTTGTATTTAGTTGTATTAGTTTTGTAAGCACACAATATCATTTTCATTTCCATTACTTTTCTAAGGTCGAGGTTTTATTTTTATTTCAGTTAACTAAAAAATGTTTTCACAAGTAGGTTTAGTTTAGATTTAGTAAACTATAATAACTTTTGGTCCCAACATGTCTGAACAAGAAAAACATCACCCTTTTCTTTCTGCTTCCTTTCCTACTTTTCACATCTATGTGCACAAAGTTTATTTATACAGCACTTATCTTAACAGTTAGTTAGTCAGATATCACGTGTGAAACCTAGTGCTGTCTTATTTTAACGATGGTAGAAAATATCATTTGATTGATCATTTCAGGATAATATTTATGTGAGCTGACACCTGGAGTTGTTCGTAGTCAGAGCTGACATTGCAGATCCTCAGATCAGTGTAGGTGTGTTCCCCCTTCAGCTCAAGCTGCTGAAAATGTGAAAAGAAAGAGAAAGATGTTATTAACCGAATCCATATATTCAACGTTACAAATAACTGTTGACTATAAGTTTAGGAAAGTTAAAGAAAACATGCTAAAAACAACTCTGACTGCACTAGATTCACATTTTATATTGAGATTATATTGGGCATATTCTCCACTCGAATATTTCAGGATCTGAGAGCAATATTAGAGAAGAATTGCACTGCGTAATGTCGACAGAGTGGCTTTACTCTGTGTAAAAAAGGAGGAAGTTAGAGCAAGCAAACCGATAATGTTGTGATGAGTGATTTACAGCTGTAGTGGCGGTTTAGTGGGCAGAAGGGGAAGAGGAAGACGAGCTGTTACTCATAAGCGTCGAATGTTTTATGCACAAACAGGAGAAACGCTTAATATCGTGTGTCTAACTCATAATGGTACAGAATCAATGCAAGTATCTGATCAGTGACGAATCCTTTCAATTCTGTCACGTAGCTTCAATTTAGCTCCACATCGACCAACTGCAACATATTATATTGTTATATTATTGAAGTATAATCAGTGTTGGGCAGTAACTCATTACTAGTAACTAGATTACTTTCCCCAGTAACTATAGTGTAACCAATTACCCATACATTTCAATGATAATATTACAGTTACCCTCCCAAACAATATTCAGTCCCAACATTACTAATTTAAAATCAAATAATCCAATCACATCCTTGGATTCATTTTTGTAGTCATGGTGGAAACTAGTTTGGACGGTAAAAGGTAGAAAAGTAATATAACTAGTAGTGTAACTAATTACTGATGGCAGGGAGTAATAAGTAAAGTAATAATATTACTTTTGAAAAGAGTAATGAGTAATACGTTATTATAATTGATGCATGTTGTAGCTATTTTAGATGTTTATTTGAACTATTTTTAGACTGTAACAATGCATCATATCTCATACTGATCATTTGTTTTATTATTATTATACTTAAAGTAAATAGTAACTTAAATAAATGTAGTGAAGTAGAAGCATCACAGAGCATAAAACTGAAACACTCAAAGTAAAAATACATCAAAGCAGACCTGTTAATGGAAGACGCTTTGACTTGTCAAAGCAGGAGAAGCACAGGTGTAACTAATAACACTGATGATGGCTTCGTTTCTATTCATTGTCCCATAAGTCATGTCAGTGAGTGAGCATGCACAATACCAGTCGACTGGAACTGACTCACCTATTTGGAATGCAGCCGTCATTAATGTTTAATTCCACCTGTACTTTTCCCGCTTTGATAAGGGTCTGTTGTACTTGAGTAAATATACTTTATTATCAGAAATATTACTGAAAAGTATAATTTATATTGATATAACTCTGACAGGGGTCATTCTGCCTCATTGTTGCTTTTACTTTTGATATTTAAAATACATGTTTCTGAAAATAATTTGATATTTATATTTTTATATATATTTTACTTTAATAAAATTAAATAAACATCATTGTTAATCTACAACGGCACAAAATTGAAAAACTCTGAATCAAAGATTGCATGTTGTTGACACAGGTACTGTACTTCAGTGGTTCTCAAACTGGGGGTTGCGAGGCCTTCTTAATGTTAAGGGGTGTAAGAAAAAAATATATAGTAGGCCAATATCTCAGCATTAAGTTACTTTTAAAGTATCTAAGATATGATTTTTGAAGACCTGAACCTGTCTCTGCATTAGAAAAGTACACTGTTTGGGTTCATTGTACAGTTCATTGTTTTTCTGTACTGTTATTGTAATGCATTGAATATAATCTAAAATAAATATCTATAAATCATGTCACTGAGTCAGGGGTCGTCACTTTACTGAGTGATTGGGGAACACTGCTGTAGTGTGATCATTACTTGAAGTAAAATAACTCAAAACAAATGGAACTAAAGAGTTGAACTTACTAAAAATGAACGTCTATACTCAAAAAAGTATTTTGTTTTTGCACCTTTATTATGTGTGTCAAGCAATGAGAAGTCACCTCAAACTAAAAGTACCTGTTAATGATGAATTTTAGTCTCTGATATATGAAGAAAACTTGTCGCATGAACTAAAAGTTTGGCACAAATAAATATTCATCCACTCACCAACTCAACTCTCATTTGTTAATCAGGCTTCCTGCATGTGATCCTTTCGTAATATAGTTACGTATATATATTGTGTTTATCTCACAGAGCGCACGCAGCATATCTATATTATTTTCCTTTTTAAGACGTTGTATACTTGCCCTGCAATCTTTGAAATGAAAGATGACGTATCACGTGTTTAGTCATTCTTCAGTCAAAAGGAAAGGACGAGGATGTACGCGAGACGAGACTATGACTAGACTGTGACGTGCCAAGGATGTCAAAACTCCTTTTCAGCTCTGTTGTATTAGTCCTGCACGGGGGGATCATTTCTCACACTGTCTCTTGTTTGGCTGCCTGTCAATTTGGCTGCGTAAGTGAAAAAAAATCTTCTTACCTTCAGCCTCCTGGAAAGGCTTGGCAGGAGAAGAAAAACAAACAGAGAAGGAATGTTACCCAGAGCTGAGATATAGATGAGTAAACACACAGAATGTCTAATAATTGCTTGGCGATGTCTCCAAAACTTGTGTGGATGAGGAACAAAGAGAATTCTTACTTTTGATACTTGTACATAGTCACAGCAACAGTGACGACATAGAGGACGAGCAGGGCCGCACATATAATGTAGGGAATCTGAAGTGAATCACTGATGTCTGAAAGAGTTGAAAGAACAGCCGACAGTCTTTTACCAGTTTTCACACAGATATCTTCAATCTGTGATGCATTTCTTATTTTGCAATCAAGTACTTTTTATTGCTGCATTCACTTTCTCTCAACTTCAGTTGTTTGCTTAAGTTTTCCATTTCCATCATTTCAAACTTTCTTTTTTCAGAGAATGTGAGTAATAGAGGCAAAAGTGCAAGTTCCCTCTTTACGTCAGGTTTATTCACCCAAATTGAACTGGTATTTATTTTTTCCCCTGTATTTAAGTTAATACATTCTTTTGTACATATCACTTTTATTAATTTATTTATTAATTTACCAGGGACAATGCACATTAATCAGCACTATAGTTACATTACACTTCAATGTTAGCTAATGAGTTAATTTTCATCCGTAGTCCACTGGAAGTTCTTCCTGTATTCATACACTGAGAGTACTTATAATTAAATATACTATATAAATCAAATTTAAAGCTTTTGCTGCGCTATATGTCAAAGCTTTAATAAAATCTGCCACCTCAGCCTCAAAAGCTGCTATATATTATACTTCACTACACATCATTTCACTCTACAGCTTCATCTCACCTTCCTTTACTTTCTAGCTTTACGCCACCTCACCGTAGTACATGTACACGAGTAAAGGCGCCACGGTGATGAAGCATTATAGCAGAGAGTAAATAATTCCTCTCTGTTACGACTCTAGGTGATACCTGTAGTGGGTTTGACCTCCAGAGCCACCGGTCTGGACCTCTCAGAGCCCCTCTCGGTTTGAGCTTCACACACATACACCCCGCTGTCCTCCCGATTGACCTTTAGGAACAGGGTATCTCCTTCACCTTTCTTAGTCAGCTGGGATGAGGAGAGGTGATAAATGTTCTGGTTAAAGTAAACCGAGGCCTCTGTGGTGTTTGGTACATACTTCCTACAGAATGCTACGATTTGATCTCGTATTGTAGTAAATCAAACTTAAAATTAAACTTACTTAAAAAACACCACATGGCCAAAACTATGTGGACATACTGCTCCTATAGCAACCTCCACTCTTTTGGTTTCACTCTTTCCTTGAGATTTTATAACCTGCCTGCAGTTGGCATTCAAGTTCACTCCAGAGGTGTTGGATGGGGTTGAGAACCTTCCATCTGCCTGTATTTTCAGATTTTACTGTGTTCGAGATGTTTCTAGGTGTCAACCTTTGGGCAGCGCTAAGGGTGTAAGTTTGGGACTACATCGGACAGGCTACATCGCTGTCTCCATCTCTCTCTCTCCTCTGCTTCCTGTCTGTGTCATGGATGCATAATGAGCTGCAGGTCTGCTTGTCAGTGTCTGTTTGACCGAGGACAGACAGAATGAAGAGTCCGCTCTGGCTGCATTCACACAAAATGCAGACTTATGGCACACTCCTGCAGGGTTGTGCGGAGGTGTTGGTGTGTTTCTTTCTTTGTTCTCCTCATTCGATCTCAAAGGGCGCTCTCTCCGTTCTGCTCGAACTTTGAATAGTGATTTTACAAACAGGAACGGACAAATCCTGCACATACCCAACTCAAACCGTGACAAATAGCTCCGGAATTAAAATAGATACAGAAAAGTATCTGAAGATCATTGTCCACATACTTTTGGCCACACACAATAGATAAAATAAATATTTCTGAATATTTTCTGAGTTTCTGAAAGATTAAAATAAATCTGTAAAAACTGAATAAAGTACAGTGAATTCTCTTTTACATTTCCAGAGTCGGTTGTGTACCAGGTGTACAGGCTCACGGGGGGGTTGGCATCACTCGAACACAAAAGGGTCACAATGCGCCCCTCAGAAACGGGACCAGACGGGCTGAGTGTCGCCATGGTGAATCTCGGAGCATCTGTGGGAAATAGTTTGACAATATAAATGTTGTACAGCAAGTACAAGTGGTTTTTTCCTCTCACTGCAACTACTGACACAGGTCAACTGCTGTTCATGGAAAGCACATTTACTCACTGTGATTCTATTCTTTACTTGACTATATTATTATGTACTGTTAAGGTAAGACTATTGAAATTCACAAGCTGCCCAGCTATATATATATATATATATATAGTATTTTCAAATGAGTTCCACCTTTACCAGCTGTGACATTAACATGATGAACACATTAATGCATCAATAATTATAATCCAAATATTTAATCTGCATTATTCTCAAATGTGACATTGTGCATAAAGAAGTAGAAGGAGTTTTTAACTGTTTATGAAACAGTCTTAACATAAACAGGTCAGCTTCCCCTTGAAATCAATGAAGCGAGGTGGTTGTAACACTCCTGATTTTGTCCACAGGGGGTCGCCAGAATCAACACAAACTGAAAGTTCCTTGTAGCTCATTTAAGTAACATTTTGAATGCAGGACTTTTACTTATAACAGCGTATTTCTACCTGGTGGTTTTCCTCAAGTAAAAGATCTGAGTACTTGTTCCTCGGCTATCACAAACGCAGCACCTGCCTGAAATACAGTAACAATGGCACCTTATGCCCCAGTGGTTCATTATACTTCCGTCAACACCAAGTTAAGACAAGTTCAGCTCTTCAAAGAGGTTAAAGAAATGTTTCTGTCTGTGTAAAAAAAAAAAAATCCCCTTCAGTCAGTGAGACACAGTCATGTTGAAACACGTCGACTGTAACCCCGAACTATGTTCTGCTGTGTCTAACACATTCATCCGCTTAATGGACGATAAATCAGCGTTAGCGCATTCTTCATAATGAAGGAGGCAGGAAGGAAGAAGTAGGGAAGGAAGAACTTGAGTCAGCCAGTAAATGAATGAATGAATCAATCATCAGTTCAGAGTAAAAAACAACCAGATTCCATTCACATTTGTTCTAAGGTATAGGTATAAGTATAAAAGGTCATAATGTTTCGTCAGTAATGCTTTCAGTGATCGCCACTGGACTCATTATTTTGTACAAATATTTTGTGATAATAATTGCATAATTCATGTGTCTAAGGCAGTGGTTCCCAAACCTTTCTGACGTCCCGTTAAATCGAAACAATGTCTATTTGTAAACCGTTAAGGCAACTTTAAGATTCTTTGAACTGAGGAGATACATCTTTCCATTTCTCCACAAACTATACCAACAGTCAAAATCAGCATGATTCTGTGTATTTTTGATTCTTTGCTATTCCATGAATCATTTTGTGACTCCTCACTCGTGGTGGAGAAAGTATTCGGATCTTTTACTGAAGTATTGCAAGTAAAAGTTCTGCATTCAAACTTAAGCAAAGTAAAAGTGGAATATTATCATTATTAGATTGTTAATACTGATGCATCAATATGTAAGTAGTGTTTTACTCTTGTAGTCCCAGCAGGTGAAGCTAGTTTATCTACTTTTATTTACTGGAGGTCTGGGTGACTGGAGGCCCCTCAAAAGAGTCACAAAATAAATGAAAAAAACAGTAAAAAAAAAACAGTTGAACAGTTGAGTTGAATGAATCCATCTGAGTGGTTTAGAGGGGAAGTCACTTTGGTGGGAAGCCAATGTTTTGTATCTCATGAGATCATCATGTGTTTTATGTAGAACTTGAATCTGAAAAGTAACCATTTTCTATATCAGTTTCAAACTCTCTCCTCCTCTTTTACCTCTTTTACGACTTGTTAAATAAGCTGTTTAAACAGATTTATTTCTTATTTCAACCAGCAGAGGTCACTGTCTTACTCTTCCCACCTCTGGATGGCTCATATTAATGCAGAGAGAGAGTGTCTCACAGAGGACGGTGGATGTCTGAGACGTTGCAGACGGCTTGCTGCTGCCCCCTTTTGTCAGCGGGTAGGAGACAGAACAGGTGATGTTCTGGTTGTGATGCTCGGCTGAGGCGCTGAAGGTCAGCGTGGACGTCAGGATCATCTGTCCATCCACGTTCTGCTTTTGCAAAAGAGAGAAGAAAACACCAACATAAATTACTGAAATGTTCATAAAATAAAACAGCAAATAAATCCTTTTGGAAGATTAAACAGTGACAAAAGGCAGCTAAGGAAATAATGAAAATAAACTTGAATCTTTATAAAAGGGATAATAATTTATTAAAAAATCTGACTATTACTGAACTTGCTCTTTCCTCAGTTCTATTGTTGTCCATTCAAAACACACAACAAACCACTTTGCATGCTGTTTCATTACACTGTTATTTATTTAATTATTAAACCTGAAAATGCACAGATGTCTCAGTAAATGATTTTAAAACATTTACTACATTTGTGACCTCGAGGCCACAGATAGGATGGGGAAGTCGTAACAGACAGACACATGAATGAATGAATGAATGAACGAAAGATACATCACCTGATGAATTTCTTTCTCCTCCTGCCTGGAGTTGTCTTGGGGGAGCCAGGTGAGGGAGGGGGGCAGGATGGAGCAGGGCATTGGGACTGAACACCGCACCTTCACCTGGGCTCCCTCTGACACCGGACTCTCCAATGTCAGCAGGGGGGGAGACGGGTCTGTCGAGGAGGAAACAGAAATGAAGAAGAGATAATCGCTCACTCACTCACTCAACAAAGTTTCATTGCAATCCATCCCACAGTTCAGTCGTTCCTACCTTGGCGAACGTTGATGTTGACTCCATTAGGGAAAGTGTACTTAAGGGTGTCCAAACATTCCAGCCTAAAGAAGTAAACATCGCTGTAGTTCTGCAGGAAGTTGTGGAAGCTCGTGGTGCAGTTCTTCTTCGTTAAGTCCCCGAATATTGTTCCCTAAAAGAGCAATGAGTACAAAACTTTAATTTTAAATTCCTGTGAAGAGCAGAAGTTTCAGAAGATACTAATTATTTATAAGCTTAATTTTAGGTTTTATTTTAAGCTCTTGTGGATCTTTAGAAGATTATGGCTTCTAATATTATTATGTTGTTAGAAAAGGAAGCCACTCTGAGTCACTAACCACACGGCCGCTTTACGTATGATCAAGTTGCTTAAGCATTGATGTAAATGATGCTCATGAGTTTTGCATCACCAAACAAAGAGACAACCTACTTGTATGTTGCTAGTGGCGGTGATGATAGGACCACTAAGACTTCCTTTCCTCCAAACACCTTTATTTGAGCAGTTGAGGACACGTTTTTCCATCTCGTCTGGGACCTCGAAACCACATGGGACTGTGACACAAGACCCACTGATGCCCACAATGCTTTTGGGCAGCATCACATTCCAGGTTTTACAAAAGACACCTGGAGGGGCCCAAATACAAATCAAACAATGGCACACATTCACACATTCACTCAACCTCATTTGAATAATTTACTAAAACCAGACTGAAAAAGGAAGCTTTCTTTTCAGTGTAAAAAACACAAATCATACTTCCACATTCATGTGTGAAATCAGGGAACTACCGACCTTGCATCAGAGCAATGAGCAAAGCAACAACCGTCAGAACAACACCCATCTCGGCTGGATGAGACGAAGATTTTAAATCCAACGAACAATTCGACATTTAAACAACAAGACAAAAGAGAGAGAGAGAGAGAGAGAGAGAGAGAGAGAGAGAGAGAGAGAAAACTAAAGAATTACATTATTTAAATGCACAAAAGAAAATTAGTTTTGCTTTGATGCCAGAAATCACAATTTATTTACTCAGACAATGAATCAAAGACAAATAAATCACGAGAAGCAAGTAAAATGTAACATACAGCAAGATATTTAGCTGTTATCTAATATCATTTATAACAAAAACACTTGTGTTTTGCCCTAAAGCCAATTCTAAGAAGTGAAAAAAGTCATACTAAGATTACTATGTGAGAAAAATGTACAACTTATTTTCAACATCTTGATTTAGTCAACATACATTAACATTCATCATAAGGAAAAACCTAAAGTTAAAGACAAGAAAAAACCTAATTCACACTTTTTACTGATACAGAAACAGTTTCTTAGACTGAGTTACAACTACACACACATTCATGCGGTAACTTTACCTGTCGAATGATTATGAGCAGATCATCCGAGGTTGACTTCTATGTGTCCGTACAGTGAAAGAGGAATAAATGTTTGAACAAGGAAGCGATGGAGTTTGTGTTTGTGTCAAAGCAGTGAGACTTTGAGTCTGTGGTGAAATCTTCACTGTGGGTGTCGAAAATGATTGAGTTAATTTGTCTAATGAACGTGGTGAATGGAAGCATTCTGCAATGGATGATTCACCCAAACTATATTTTCTAACCTTTAATGGCGACTACAGATCACCCAGGTTTAAACTGCAGATGTTTCTTTTATTCTAATAGTGTAAATAGGTGTTAAAACGATGTATGTATGTGTATTCTGAAAGTTAAGTAGCCATAGCAGCTATACTCAGTCACAGTAGTGCTTTGAGCTAAATGTTCACATCAGCATGCCAACATGCTCACAGTGACAATGCTGACATGTTGATGTTCAGCAGGAATAATGTTGATCATGTTCACTGTGAGAAGTGGAGAATCGGCTGTAAAGACACAACCACAAACATCTAAACACCAATAGGATATCATTTAATTCATACTGAGGGAAATATAAAGAATGCAGATTATCAATAATGTGCAAACCAAATGTACCTAACCACCCCCAAAAAACAACGAGTTACAATATTACTCACATCCTTGGATTCATTTTTGTAATCGTGGAGGAAACTAGTTTGGAAGATGGAAATGTTTATATTCAGCAGCTGGAAATATATCACGTTACTTTAATTTCAACAAATAAAATTTGGATTTTAATCGTCATAAGTCTGAATTTTGGGACACAATTACCAATTTTTTGGGAAAAGTAATATAACTAGTAGTGTCACTAATTACTTTTGGCAGGGGGTAATAAGTAAAGTAATACAATTACTTTTGAGAAGAGTAATTAGTAATAAGTAATCAATTACTTTTTTTAGTAACTAGCCCAACACTGCTGGTTAACGGTGAAATACACACTGTGCCAAATGCAGTCGACACCCACCTCATGCACTTACCGCTGTAAAATAACATAAAATAGAAATACTCAAGTGAAAGTAAAATTATAATTTTACTTTAATGCAGTAACTGAATAAATGTATTTAGTTACATTCAACCACTTGCAGCTAATAAAACAATAATAACAATTAGAAAGTCTGCACAACTGTTTTCTCCTGAATATCTGTCTCTGAGATTTCTTCCTTAATCCAAATACAATGAAGGTGAGTTAGATTAAGTTTTGTAAATCTGTATCTTTGTACACACACAGAACTCACTGCCAACAGTTTTTGTGTCAGAAACTAAACTCTCTAAAGAAAAGTGCAAAATGATGAAGAGACGATCTGAGAATGATTTAACAAGGTTTTAAAATCTGAGGACAACTTCTCTTTAAGCCACCAGGGGTAGCACAAGTAGGTGAGTCAGATATACACACACACACACACACACACACACACACACACACACACACACACACACATTCTAAAAAAATCCACACTGGCACACACACATTTGAGCCACCAGAGTGTGGCAATTGGGAGACAAACTGATGACTGGAAATCAGTATATTTGTGTGCACGAGCCCAATAAATGTCTGTACTTAGAGTTTTGGTGACGCACATTTCTCTAAACTGAGTTCACTTTTTCAACAGTCACAGTGTGAACTCAACTGGATCACTTTCCATTGATTTCACAGTCAGTGAGTGAGTGTGTGTGGAGAATGGGGTTGTGAGCAGAAAATGAACTATTTGGCTGATTGTAGTGCGATTGTTATGTGAGTGTAGAAAACATCTTAAGTACAGGTAAAGAAATAAAACAGAAAATAAAATATTTGGAGTAAGATAATTACTTGAATGCATGAAACACACACACACACACACACACACACACACACACACGACACACAGGACTGTGGCCTTTTCTTAAATATGTGTTTAAAGGAAATCTGAATTGCTGTGTGTTTCGTTGAATGGCTCCTCTCTGTGTGACGAGGATATTTCTGTCGTGACCTTCTGCGACATCAGGATTTCAGGAGCCGATTGGCCGAGGGGACAACGAAAGGACAAAGTGTTTGCACATTGTAACATTTCTCAAAGTCAAAGGAAAGAAGGAAGAAAAACAAATAAAATGATTACAAATGAATGAGTGGAGCCAGAGGACAGGAAGCAGTAGTTTTTCTCATTTGTCCATTAAGAAGTTAAAGATTAAAGAAGATTAAACACCCACAAAACATTAAAAACCATCAACAAAAGCAAATACTTCCATCAAATAACACAACAGGTGCTCAAACGATTGTATTCTTTCAATCACTCATTACATTAATCATTCATTTGTGCTGTATGCCTGTGCCATTTGTTGAATCCATTAAAGTAAGTGCTAAACAAATGCAAGCGAACCTCCTGTTCATCTGCATCATCTTACACTTTTAAGATGCCCTGTTGAAATACTGTAAATACATATTCACCGACAATTCCTAAGAACTCTTAATTGTATTCTTGTGTGCAGTTCGTTAACATGTCAGACCTACAGTGAGCACCTAGACCGGACAAAATCAGACATTCATTATTAACACAACACAAAACTGCACAGTCCTGTTAATCTATACAATCTTCAGTACTTGGACACACGTTCTCTTCCACCTCACATCTTACGTCGTGCGCCTTGGATACAAATGTTTGGCGTACCTCATCCACCACCGTCTCTAGCAGGAACCTCAATGGGCTTGATTTCTCAGTGTTTCAATGATCTGTTGTTTCAAAAAGGCTCATCGGCTGTTTCAGTGTAGCTGTTGAGCATTCAAAAAGACACAAATTGTGTAAATGGCGTGGTCCACAACAGACAGATGTTGTGCTAATTGTGTTTTTGGAACTGGAAAAAGGATGTCAGTATTGTAAAAAGCTGCAGTGTTACATCAGAGGACTGAGTTGCATCAGCGACTCTGCTGCTCTTTTGTGGTCTTTTTGGTCATTACTTTCTATTACTGGAAGCCTAAACTGAGCAGAAGAAAACCCTGTTTACCGTAAACAGCAATGAGATCATGAGGCGTGGGAACATAAAATGAAGCTGATGTTAAATCACTTTATTTTGTGTAGTTCAAAGTCCGAGATCCAGCACGATGGTTTTCCTTGGAATAACGAAGATTATCTGAAGTTATTTGTTTGGTAACACGAGGTCACCGACCCTCTTTAGAGGAATTTGATTGGCCGAGGAAACTGAGGGGGAATGTTAATGTCTGATTAACAAAAAGATGGTCATCCACTAAACTGTGTGTTTATGCGTGCGTGTGTGTGTGTGTGTGTGTGTGTGTGTGTTTTAACTTCAAGGACAGAAAGACAAAGTGAGTGTGGTTGTGAGAGAAAAAGAGAAGCAGGCAGACAGGAAAACACACATGACCTAAAAAGAGGGAGGGAAAGAGGAAGGGTCTATGTTTGTCTGTATATGTGTGTGTGTGTGTGTGTGTGTGTGTGTGTGTGTGTGTGTGTGTGTGTGTGTGTGTGTGTGTGTGTCTATGGGGGGGGGGGAACCACACACGTCTCGCTTTTAGCAATAAAACCACTTGAACTAACACACACACACGTCATGAAGATGTGTCTCCACTTCTGTCTGTGACCACTGAGGCTGCAGCAGCTGACCCCAGTGCTGTGATATCAGTTAAACATCTGCAGGTAAGACATCAGGACATTTTCTGATTCTCTGTCACACATTCATATTTCACACTTATGCCTAAAAATATCACGGCAGCTGTGTCGTTCTGAGTTTGACCTTTTGTCCCAGAAGTGATGTTCATATAGCAGTAAAGAGTTTTGCCGTTTGAAGCATTCATTGCTTGGATTATGTTCATTTTTGTTTTTGTTCTGTTTTGGGAAAAGCTTTGTGATTTGGGTCAAATGTGATCTTCTTACATACTGTTACAGGTACAGTGATTAAACATTCTGGCCCTCAGAATAGTGACGTAGCCAGAAACAAATAGAAATGCAGTATCATGTGGGAGAAGAGTTGTGGAAAGGAGTTTGTAATTGAAGTTTAATGTTGTGTTTTTCGGCTTCTTCCAATAATTTACTGCATTCATTTCCATTGTTTTTGGCTTGTGAGCATTTGTAACCAACGAGACCATGACGTTCCCTTCTCAGATTGTTAAAGTTACAGTTTTTAGTGGCCTGAAAAGTTCAAACTCTTTCTATAATTTAGAAAACAAAACAGAAAAATAAGCAAAGTTTTTTAAATCTGAGAGAACAGACCAAACTTTATGGAGCAGAAATATTTTTCAGGGGACCAATAAAGTATTCCTTAGTGATCGTACACAAACCCATAAATGGAGCGAAGCCTGCGAGCTAGTTCGGTGAGTCAACTCGAGCTGCGCTGATTACACACATGACATGGCTCACTCCATTATCACTAACCAAGCGCTCCCTTCCAATCTGCACAATTTGCCAGCTCTCCCTCTGCTCTGTCTGTAAGCACCACCACCACCCCAGCATCCACCTGTAGGCTCCGGCTAGGGGTTTAAGGTATTTTGCTCATGAGGTCGGAGCCTAGACGGCAAAATCTTAATATGCTATACTGCTTTAATAAACATTTCAAACGTGAGTTGGCTGACTGAACATACACATATACAACCCTGTGCATCTAATGGCCACAACCAAATGTCCAAAATAATACTGCAAGATGTATCGAAACAAAATGTAACATGCTAACACTTACCGCATAAGACCAAAAGTCATCTTGTTGGTTACAATACAATTTAGATGACTGTATTTTAACATGTAAGAACTTTAGCCCAGTGTTAACTTCTGGCTTGTTGTCGCTGTGAAAACATTAAAATAGTTCAGTTCAGGAAGTCTTTATTGGGCTGAGGTTATTCCTTCTTTCTACCACTACAAAGACTGAAGCTGCTGTGTTGATTCAGACTGTTTCAGGTCAGTGTGACTGGAAACAATGACATTTCATCAGCATCTCAGAATTTGTAGATTTTCAGATTTTCTATTCAATAAGCCTTTGACATGAACACTTTTTCATAATTTTACTTGTGATATTTCGCTGTAATTCTGTTTACTTGTAGGTTATTGTTCAACTGCTTTCAAAATAGTTAGTGTAATGTTTAATTAGATTATCACCACAGCATGCTTACATATGAGGGGTTGTATTAATCTTGTTCTCACAGTGTTTGGAGGTTTGTGGTTGCTGCAGATGGAGCAGACTTGGAGTCCAAAAGGTTGTGACTGTGGTATTATGATGCACTTCCTCTCAGCGTTCCCAGCGCGTGTTGTTGATAGATGTGTCAGGGTTTCTGAGTTGTGTCATTTTTAAACATCTGCTTCATGTTAACAAATGTCCATTTAATGTAAGAACAGCAACAGCAGTGAGCCAGTGTCTACTCAGCTCTCTGGATTAAGGATTAAGACCCACTTAAAAATGAGATACTGCATCTCAAGGGGCGATCCTATCCTTTCAATACCTTTGCATTCATTGAAATCTTTACGTTTGTTGGGCAGCTGTTTATGGGAATAATCCTCCGGCTGACAGAAAGTGAAGTGGAACTGACAACAAGTGGAACAACCAGCACCAGTTACCTGTAGGAACTCACTGATTGTTGGTAAATGATAACTTGGACCATAAAACAGAAACAGCTAAACATTTTACTCAGTTTTAAAGCTTTTTTTAAGACTTATGTGGTGATCTTCTAGTGAGCAGTTTACAGTATGCCACGCAGGGGCACGTTCAGAGGGGGGGCGCCTGAAATCTGATTGGCCACCCCATTATCCTTATCTTTACCGCCACACCACCACAGTGTGCCACGTTTAAAAGATAAAGAGCTGAACAGAGCTGTTACTGAACAGAACGCTGATGCAACTTCCCAATTAACAGCTCAGGAACATTATTATATATTAAGTAGTGTGAATCATTTTCATTTCATTGTGAAATATTAAATTGTCGGAGGGCCTTAAGTCGAGTATCACAGCATTATTCAATGTTTTTATGGTTATGTTTGAACCAAAATTAACCTTTACCCCTAACACTAACCAAAGTATTTTGTGGCTCTGCGTTGAGACTCAGGCGGACACTTGGACCATTTGTAGCGGTTTTTAAATTAGAAACGTGCTTTCTATGCATCCACATGCACGTCCCCTTGCTACCTAAAAGTAGTTCTGCATATACAACTGGCGCCTAAACCCACCACAGACAAGAGTCACACCCACAGGCCTGCACTTTGTTCGTCCACAGTCCACCCCAACCACTTCCCTGCAACTCCAGTGTGCTAAATATGTTGATTCAACAAACACAGAACACAATGGCAGCGATTATGTTGTCACCACGATGAAGTTCTGTAAAGCCATTTAGTAATATAGGAAATGTAATTTTGATAGGAGACAGGGTTGAAAGGAAATGTCAGCTGAGTTCAAAATTCAAATAAACTTCATGTGTTCGTGTGAACTTCGAACAAAAATATATATTTTTTTTAAACGCAGACACTCACTTGCCTCAGTTACACGGGTACATTTCTGCTGGGAAATTCCCACCAAGTATGACATTAAAATGAAATAATAGAAGGTTTTGAAATGCACCTGCACTAAGAACTTCTTGCATTGAGCTTGTGCAGCAGTCTTATCAGATCGTTTACCCTCTGAAACTGATGAACATGGTCTCTAGAAGAAAGAAATTCAGAGAAATGTCGCCTCAAATGACAAACAAGAGATACGTGTGCCATAAGAGTCTTGAATTCAAAGAATTATATTCTGCTCTCACAAACAACTCTTTCTCTATAATTTTATTTTATTTCACCCCTTAACTTAATTCAAAGTTGGAACGGCCCCTGACTGTTTCAGACCTGTATCAGCTCATTCTTTTAGAAGCTATTTGATATTTACATTACACCAAATACCAAATTAAGCCTTGTGTCGTGTTAGCTGACAGATCTGTTCAGTTTACTCAAGTACATTGCATTTGTACTCCATTTTATTTAAGAATATAATGTACTTTTTACTCATTTAACAGTTGCTAACTTGACATAAATTACTACTACATTCGTTCCTATAAAAGCTGCTCCGTGGTGCCTGAAACCAAAAAACCCACTTCCCACTGCAAAGAAATGACCCAGATGAAGACATCACATAGACACACACACAGAGACTTCCACTGATAGACAAAGTTATCGAACTGAATGGATCATTGTTTTCCTGAGAGTGAGGGAGGTAGCCCAACTGAAGAGTGTAGTTATGCTTTAAAGGAGCAGCATGTAGGATTTATTGGCATCCAGCAACATTGCAACCAACTGAAAACCACTCACCTTCCAAGTGTGAAGGAGACACTACTGTGGCTGCAGACTCTTATCTAGAACCAGTGTTTGGTTTGTCTGTTCTGGGCCACTGCAGAAACATGGTGGTTCAACATAATTTTTTACTTATCATCAGGTGATTATACACTAATAAAAACATACACATTGGACCTCAAAGTAAATGATCGGACTATTTCTTCCATCGCAGCTGGAAACAAAAAAACATCTGGAAAACCTTGTAAGACCCTTCTCGGCTTGCTGCATCCATTCTGTGTTTAGTGTTTCTCCTGCCCTCAATAATAGCACCAGCTGCTACAATAAATGGGGCTGAGGATGTTTTTTTTCTTTTTTTTTCTTTTTCACTTTTGAGGTTTAGCAGCACTGTTGCTGCACTTCTTCATTTCCTCTTTTGAGGGCAGGAGCCTTTCCTTTATAAATGTCAGAAACCACTTCTGTTCTTGTCTTGACTTGTCTTCCCTTTGAAGCTCAGCTGTATTTGCTAACACTGGTAAGATCTCATTTAATTAATGACATATCAGTCCCTTTATAACAGAGTTTATATATCTCGTTTGACCAACTGAGGCTTTCTCTGCACCACACTTCACTGGCCTCTTGCTGGTTTGATGACCACAGTCGGATGTTAAATGTCATTATGTGTCTGTAGATCTGATATGTCTCTAATCTGTGGCCACCGATCACACAGTCAGCTGTCTACTTCACTGTACTGACTCATTATTCCTACCAATACAGTTCTGTGCAGACATATGTCAGCTACTAAACCTGATGATGCACCGTTGAACTATTTAGCCTTTTCAGCCTTCATCAGCTCCCCAGCTGACTTTTACCTGGTTGTTTATTCATCTATTTTAATCATGGAATATTCCCCAAATATGTTTTTTTTGCAATAATGTATTTTTTTTTAGGAAATATTTGACAGTATTAGTCCAAGACAAAAAAGATTAGATATGAGCATGAAACATTTTTTGGTTATTTTCCTTTTTACATCAAGTGAAGGATCATCTTATCTCATTAAATGTAAGATCATAATTTGAATCTCTGTAGATTTAGAGATACAGCTCAAGGTGGCTTGATTTGCTAGTCTCTGTCAAAAGCAACCTCAACACTGTTGGTAAATAATAGCAAGCTAATCATTGATACTGTGCATCGACACATCAGCTGGAGTTTGTTCAGTTGTGAAGATGTCTGAAGTTGGCAACTAAGAGCAGGATTGCTGAGACGCTTGCATCTCTTATCCTCGTGTAGGGAATCCCATAGGCTGAGCTGCAGATTTTCTCCTTGATAGTTTGTATTTAAGGCAGCAGAGGATCTAACAGGAACTGAATTATAAACCAATGAATGAACTTTAATTTATCAATGGATTGTTTTGGAAGACTGGTAGAAAGAGCATTACAGTAGTCTAATATACTTAAACTAAACGCATGAATACGTTTTTCTGCATCTAGTTGAGATTGGAACGACCCGCAATATTTCTTAAATAAAAGAAAGCTGCTCTTTTTAAAAATCTCCTTTGGTGGACCTTAAATGTGGCTTTTCCTCTTGCTTCCAGAGTTTGAGAAAACACTCTCACCACAAGATTAATTTAGTAGCTGTTGTATTGTGCTTGGTCATATTATTTCCATTTCTTACTGAGCACTTGAAGGACTTGTGTGTATTGGACACAGCATCTGACAAAGCAATCTCACCTTAAAGTCCACTGGTAACCTTGAACATATAACAGATACTTTGTATTATATAAATAAAACTGCACTGCATTAGTTAAATAAATATAAAAAATATAGTTAAGTCCGTAAACACACTTCTTTGGGACACACAGAGATGAAACTGATATTAATCTTTGGATCTACTTTATTTAGGGCCTGTGATGTTAACATAGACGTGTTGCATAAGCAGATGTGAGGTTTTATTAATTTCAACCTTCACATGCTGGTTGAAAATTATTCAAATGGCCCCTCAGTTGTCTCCATTGCAACAGAGGTAACAGGTACATTTAATTGTAGCACAGTGTGAACTTTTAACTCACACATGCACATAGTTGTATTTTAATGCATCACCTTGTATTCATGCAGTCGGTGACCAGTAAACAGACACGTTGGCATCTTCTCAGACACTGACCCACAATGACTCAGCTGGGTACATCTGACTTGTCCACACACTCATGTTCATTTATACAGCCCCTTGTCTATTTTCATAGCATCATATGAAGATTGAGGCTCGTGATCAGAAACTTTTACTCCTTAAAGAGCCACTGAACCCATTTTTTAAAGCTTGTGACTCTCTTATATTGTTTTTCCTTAAACCCGACTGTCGGGTAGTGGAGTTTAGTTTCTTGCCTGTCACAGTCCAAGACGTCATGGGTGTTAGTCTGTAAAAGAGGAAGTAACATAAACTGCATTTATAACATAGACACCATGAACCAGCATTTAGTCTCTTCATCACTGTGTAGAACAATGACAGAAAACTTCTTCATAGTCCACTGACTAATCAGTATTTTACCACATATCCTGACGGTTGTTCACCTGTCTGGCTCACAGATGGGGTCAGATGCACTTCTGGGGGGTTCTGTTCATGCTAGAATAAAAAAATATTTGAATCCCTTCTACAGGAAAAAAGAACACATTGACTGGCACATTAATTAATAACTTATGTGCACATATTCTCCACTTAAATCAACAATTTGTGTCCTCCAACCATTTAAATTATTGCTTCAAATTTGTAGCATTAGCTTCCATATTTTAATATTGATCATTGAAAATCTAACTGTGCTGCTCGAGTTTGATGCAGATTTATTCAGCCTTTGGACTGAGATACAGTACGTGAATATACTTTGGGGATTTGGCTGTTAAACACAATGCTATCTTTGGCATTCCTTAAAATTATTCATAAAACATTGCTCATGTTTGTTAATTTGTGCTCAAACGTTATTTGGGAGAAAAACTAGATAATTGAAGGGAACGAATGACTAAACTGTGCACAATCCAAAGTTTTACCCATTGTCAGGCTCCACTCTGACCATCATATGACAAGTTTTCATGCAATATACAAAAGTAATCTGTTTTGATGTTCGCGTATTCTCTGTCTTCCAGTCACGCAATGTTTCCCAATGCGTCTCTTCGCATCTCTTCCAAGAAAGAGGAGGCAACCACAGTGGACATTGACGCCATCATGGACAACGTCTCCATCGTCCTCTACACGCTGACCGTTGTGCTCGGCATCACGGGGAACTCAGTGGTGATCTGGGTGGCTGGATTCAAGCTCAAGGTGGATATACAGAGTATAATGGGCTGCAAATTCTTTCTTTGGAAGGAATACATGATTCTCTAAAGCTCATTGTCCTTTTAATTGCTTTGTATTGTTACCTACTATTACTGATTAACAACATTTATACCAAACCACTAAAAACCACACTATATATTATATTATATATATTATATTTCAATATTTTATATTATTTTGATACAGTTCCAGTCTTCCATCACAACCTATAACAATACAAAATAAAACTCTTGAGAGTGTCACTCTTATTAAAACTCCATGTACACAGATACAACAGCTTAAAAGATGTGCTGCGCCTAATTATGGTTGCTAAGCTATGATTGAAGCTGTTCGGGGGATAAACTGTGGTTGCACTACTGTTTTTTAGCCCTAACTTTTATGGTTTCTATATGTATGTATTAGAGTAAAATAGTAAAAATTCCCCTGAAATTCTTCTTTCCTTCTTGTTTATTCACTTCTCTCTTTCTCCTTCTGTTTTCTTCTCTTCTTTCTTCCTCCTCAGCCAAAGGTCACCAACGTGTGGCTGGTGAATCTGGCCATAGCCGACCTGATCTTCTGCTTCACACGGGTTTTCTCCCTCACGAAGAAGCTCTTCTTCGACCACTGGCCCTTTGGCATCTTCCTCTGCAAGTTCAACGGCTTCTTCAAATATGCCAACATGTTCTGCTCTGTGTTCCTGTTGGCTGTGATCAGTTTGGACCGAGCGCTCTGCATCTGGCAGCCCGTCTTCACCAAGCGTCGACGCACCCTGTGGGCCGCGAGGGTGGTGGCTGCCTGCGTCTGGGTCGTTGCGATCATCTTCAGTACTCCGTACTTCATCTACCGCCAAGTGTACCTGGGGAAGAACAACCTGAGTAAATGCTCTCTGGACGTGAAGGAGGCGGCGCAGGGGGACAACACCGCAAAACTGGCTCTCTACTCCATCCGCTTCCTGTGTGGCTTCTTGTTGCCCTTCATGGTCATCCTCATCTGCTACATCCTGGCCGGGGTTGGTATTCGGCGCACCCGTCTGTCCGGGAAGTCTCGCCCCCTACGTATATTAGCATCGTTAGTCGTGGCATTCTTCCTGTGCTGGGCGCCGTACCACTGCCTCCTACTGGTGAAGATGGTGGATAGTAAGAACATAGTGGTGAAGATCTGGCACCCTATAGCATCGGGCATCGCCTACTTTAACAGCTGTGTGAAACCCGCTGTTGTACTTCTGCATGGGGCTGGACGTGCGGGGGCGGTTCAGGCAGAGTCTGGCGGGGGTGTACAAGAGAGCTCTGGCGGACGACGTGGACGGACAGACGACCCAGTCCAACGAACGCTCTCTGGATGACAGCACTGTGTCGAAACCCAGTACGGTTGCGGCTGCAGGAAGGAGTCAGACAGCAGTGGATGTAGCTAAAGTTTGAGCCTCTCTCTGATTTTAGTGAACACATCTGTGAGCATTTAAGAGCCACACTGGTGTTTTTTTTTATGTTTTAACTCATCAAAGTCACAGTGAAATGATTGGGCGGCTCAAAATCATTCAGGTAACTCTTTCACACCCTTGAGATTGTAAGGTGTTAGATGAATATGCTGTTGTGCATTGCACCTACTGATACATATATTGCGTGTTCATATTCATAAACAAATTCATAGCAATAGTTCCAGTGGTGGCAGACTGGGGGAAGTACAGTGGGAGGTAGTAAAAGGTTAAACTGGTTTCTCTCATCTGAGGTGTGAAATTTCCATGTGGTGCGAATGTTGATGAGATCTGAAAGTTGCTTGAGATGCATATTATATCGCAATAGCATCACACATATCAAGATGTGGGTCAAAGTTTATTGGTAATGCAGTTGCAGAAAGGGAAGGGGTAAAACTTCTTTAAGCAGCCAAGTTGAGATGGGGTCTAAGAGACAGGTTAATGGCTTTAATGAAATAACTGAAGTTGGTAGGTGAAGGTCAGTGGGAGAAAAGCAGTCTGAGGTTGTACAGCTGTCGTTTTAAGATAAATCGGTACCTTTTGAGGGCAGGAGGTGATGAGTTTAGTCTTTAATAGTTATTATTTAATCATTAAAGAAGCTCAGTAGAGCTGTTACTCTGGATGTTCTTTGTGCTTTAAGACGTCTTGCCAGACTACACGGGATTCTTCCAGCTTAGTGGAACGCCATTTCCTTTCAAATGTTTGTGCTTTTTGCTTTAATTCGGGGTTTTAGGGATTATACCATTGGGGGCTTTGTTTTATCATCTTTTTAAGAGGGGTGAGTAAGTTATCATTTGCAGTGAGCTTGCAGCACTATCAGCAACTCTATCTTAGACGTTTGTACCTAATTGGCAAAGACATGTAAAACCACTGGTATGGTCCTTGAAGAGGTGAGACAATATTTTTTTCATCCACAAGCTATGCAAGTTACTAAGTGTTTCTGGAGATATTTATTCAATGTGGTTTTGTTGTATGTTTCTCTTTATTTGTCCAAACTGATCTGATCTCGCAGCGAAGAGACTGATTGAATAAATGTTCTCAAACTGGTACGTGTTGATATACTGGGATCAGAGTCACAAGTCTTTATGTTTCATGTGATTGAAGTCACAGATGAAAAGTGGAACTGTGATAAGTCTGGAGGAAGAGCGAGAAAGGCAGAGGGAAGTGAGACTATTAAAAGGAACGCCTGTAATGTCTTAAGTCATGACACTGTCTGGTGTTCAGGGTTCAAACTGAAGGATAGAAGAATCAAAACTGAACAGTAACAACTCCATTTCAAATAATCTGTCACTTGGTTTCTATGCTTATTTTCGGTTTCTACCATCAGAAATGCTCAAAAGGGTTTTGACAGCTATGACTGTAACTGTAACGTCAGTACAGAAGTGGGAACAGAGTTTTATGGCACACATGGATAATAAAATGAAGCCTATAAGCTGGTCAACTAGTGCAATGAACATCATTTCTTAGCAACCGGCTCATATAACACAGCTGCTGCTTTGTAGATTACATACACAGCAGTAGGATTCACGTTTGTGCAATCAGACTGTTTATCTTGGATCACAGTTCTGGTAAAAAAGTAGGTTTTATGGTATTTTTGTTCAGCTGTGTTCTGTAGCAGCAGCGTCATGTTAAATGTTGATGTAAGCTCACAGTCTTTGATTTAAAATCCACTGCAATGAAGGATAGTAAGCTTTGTTCTACTACTTCTGTTTTCTGTAACATTTCTGTAACATTTCTATAACACAATAATATATCTTTGTAAATACTATTATTACATTATATTGTATTGTAAAACAAAATAAAAGCTTTTCAAGTTGTGAGAAATTACAGTTGTGTTAAACTTTTTAATTATGCAAAGGTTCGTCAACACCACTGCCAAAAGCTATAACTAATGTACCAGTGTTGGTGAATATCGAAGAGTGTTATCTGTGTGAAAGACTCATAAATAAAGATTTGTCTATGACTATTGGACAGTTTCACACCTGATTTACGTCAAAGACCATGTTCAGACCAACCTTTGCACAATAAATGCACAATCCACCAGAACTACGATACACAGCCCTGTCTAGAGCCAGCGCTTGGTTTGTCCGTTCTGGGCTGCTGTTCAACATGATGGCCTCCATGGAAGGCAACCTGTGGAGTGAATACTGAATATTATATCATTCTATTCCATTTCTGCCAATAGCTCCTCCTAAATTTTACACACTAAACTCAAACTGGTCTTTTACTCAAACTGGACCCCTTGGATTGTATTTCATTCTCTCACTGGTACGTTAAATAACATGCAGCCACCTGCCCTGTTTAAACGCTGTATACAGATATCCGGGATCATTAGTGGCAAGGTCATAATATTAAAAACTTTACAAAAAGACCAAATTTTCAAGTTTTTTAAAGTCTTTTCTGACTGAGGCTCAACTTATCTAATGACATAATTCCTGCCTCCAGAGAAGCTCAGCCTTCTAACCAACACCTGTAAAATGAGGATAAACTTTTATAAAAATAATCCCCCAACATATGGTAATATCAGGCTTTGGTTTATCCTAGTTCTGCCTCTGTAAAGCTGAAAGCTTTGAGACAATATAAAAAGACAGATAAAAAGGGAAAAGAGGATGTGACCTTTCTCTTTATAGCTGGACCTGATACAAGATATTGTGAAACCACAATTCAAAACACTTCGCTGCAGACGTACTGATAACATCGGAGACATCTCTAAACCACTCTCTACCTTTAGGGGGGGTCCCTGCGATCAGGTGGTTAGTGTGAGGGGGGAAGCAGAATCCTCATTTCGGTATCACAATGGATGGTTTAGGTTTGTTTGGATTTTCTACTTGCATTGAAACAGACATCAGAGAGCTTGGACTGACAGATGACAAACCATACCGCTATCAGATACACTGCACATGCACACACTGCCACCTGTGTATGAATGAGTAGATTACAGCTTCTATACATGGCAACACACACATTCACACCTCCAGTCTACAACTCAATTCAGACATGACTAGAGAGAACTCAGAGCACACCTCCACTAAGGCTGCACAATCCAATACACTTGTGTTCTAATGGCTAAATAATTATTCATATTTTTAGCTGCAGCTTCACAATATACATGGGTACACGGAGGATGTTTGTGTTTTTGTTTCATTTAGATGAGTGCAGCTGTTTTTGAGCACTTAAAAACATGACTGTCTCCTTGTTAGACGTAATAGGGAGACATATTAAAACAAAAGAATTCCAAAACGTCAAACATCCCGTGAAATGACGAAATCAGTGATTGTCTTTGTGTCTATAGAGCTACAGTCAGTAGTTAGAGACAGGGACAGACTTGCGCACATTTGAAACCAGCACATTGACCTTTACATACAATAGGCTTAATTGAAGCTCAACAATGTAACAAAGTACACAGGAAAGATCAGCCTGCCAGGGCTCAAGAAGTAAAAGTCCTCCTTGTTTTTGTTTTTTAAACCTTCGTGATGGTTCGATCATTTCAAACAACTCCTGAATGGTCAAGAAACTCTCAGCTGATTTACCCTAAACTGGCTCAACTTTAGCATTTTTAAACCTTTCTATGCAAATATCCTTACACCTGAGACTACTGATTACTGATTCATCTTTGGTTGCAATGCTTTCCTCTGGATCATATTTTAAATGAATAATAATAAAAATGAGAAGTAAATAAAAAATAAGACAAGAAAAAATAAGCTGTATTTTGGCCGGGCCTCTGGGGATGAAGTCGCTGCCAGGGGACCGGTGGATTAATCCAGCTTTCTCTGTTTCTGAACTTACTTTTTATTTGTTTGTTTCCTCTTGGCTGTCCTTGCTTTCTCCTACTTCAGACCCGTGGGAGGTTGCTGGCCTGTTGCAAGGTCAAGTCCCCTCTTAAGCCGCCCCCACTCCTACAGGAAGGGGCCTATTCAGTTGGGCCAAGGCCCCTTTTTCACCACGCTGTCCCATATCTGTCTACTCCCTCCATGCATCATTTCTTGGGTTTAAATGTTGCTTCTTGCATAAATTGCATATTTGATTCTAAGAAAACATTATCAGAAACTATTTGTATAGATTTAAAGGTTTGTTTTTGCCACCAGTAACACATTAAACATAAAAAAATCGTATATACTCTGTCTCCATTGTTAAAGCATTGTTTTACAGCTGTTCAGTTTCATTATCATCAGTTTGAGAGATTAGATTTTATATTTATTATTTATATGTAGAGCACTATTTAATACACATTTCAAATTGTAAAACACACCAATAAAAGGATTTTTTAAATATTCAAGACAATATTAGATTAGAGAAGTTCATCACAAAGTGCTTTAATTAGAACAAGGCACAGACTTTTCCTAAATCATCATTATCAGTCATTATAAAAACAGGTAAAAAGAATAAGAGAGAAACTTGACACACAGCAGACAGAAATATGGTTTCATCAGACGTGTCTGATAATTCTCCGGCATTGAAAATAAAATGTGCGTTAAACAAAGAATCAGAGCAGAGTTCAATCATTTTTGGCTGTAAGACCAGCACCATTTTCCTTCATCATTGGATTCTTTAAAAACACTTTCAATAATAATAATAAATGACTAAATCAAGATTAAAGTGATTAAAGTGAAAATTGGCAAGTTAAAAATGTCTTCTTCACATTGTCCATCTTAAACCTTCATAAAGTTGTAGCTTTACCTTCGTATTGTGTTGCATTGACAGTGAAGTGTCAACACAGAAGCAGAACTGATACAAGAAATAAATTAGCTTGTTCAGATACACCCTGTTACCTAGCTGTCAGTCATTAACTGTATTTAATTTAATGCTTTGGTATTGGCTAGTTATTTCATTCCTACAACCCATGCACATGCACACACACATACACACACACACACACACACACACACACACACACACACACACACACACACACACACACACACAGACACACCCTCTAATGAAGTTGTGTTGTGCTTGTTTTATGAGTGTTAAAACGGTTTTGAATGCTGCATACGTTACAAGGTTGTTTCAAAGTGCTAAAAACAGGTTCTGGTTGTGTTTCGGTTCATCCTTGTTCACACCAGAGTTCCATGGTTGTGACTTCTTGTGAGCAGACCTGGAAACATCATTTCGTCACTGTCATCCGCTTCATCATCTGTGACCTATAAAGAATTCAGATGATGAGTATTACAACGACACCACACTGCCACACCTACAACAGCTTTGCACTAATGACTTGCCAAATATTTTTCCCAGTTGAACCTTAGTATTGGAAGGGTGGGGTGTGACGCGTTAAGCTTCAGTTATTTTAAATGTTGTGGCCGGTGCATTTCAGCTGACACATTAAAAAAGCTCGACATAAATTACATGCAAATGCTGATTGTGTCACTCAGAAAACATTTCTAACAATGGGGAGGTTGCACTGTGTGTTCAGGACATTAGGACTGAATCACAGCGTAAAAGCTCTCTAAGAGCGGATATGTTCTTTTGATTTGATGAGTTTAATATTTAGATTCATTATTATCAATATAAGCCGCAACTGTTGCGGTTGGAATTATTTACCTTCCTTGCCCTTTTTCTTTTTGATTTTAACCAACTATTGAGAATATTGTAAAATCTAAACTTTCACATAAACTGATTTTTTAAGAAGGTGTTGTGATGAACTACTGACACTAGTTACACAACAGCCAAAAGTAGTTTGCTGTCATCATTTCCATAAACATCTTCATACTTTATTTTGAAAACCTTTAGCTTTGGTTATGATTGAGGGCTGATGTATAATGTAACACCAGATGCAGTTCTGGGTCTCTCAGAGTAAAGTTAACAGCTGTGCCTGTCTCCGACTAAACCAGGGACGAGGATGGAAATAAGTCCCAGACTTTATTGTTATTATGTCCCTGATTTTGTCTGATATGTTGTATTTTTATAGATATATTATTATATATGATATATTATTACCTAATAATAGATTTACTAGCACCAACCATAGTAGCAGTGGTAATAACAGTAGTGGTGGCAGAAGCAACAGTGGCTGTATAGCAGTCGTATGTACCTGTGACTCTTGTTGTTTTTGTTTTTCAGATATGGACTCTGTATCCAGAAAGGCCACAAAATGGATCAGGGTGTATATTCTGAAAAAAACACAGAACAAGAGAGTTAAAAAAGTGATCTATCTACATCAGGAACATTGATCTGACAGGTGATTGGTTACCTGTGGTACACCATGGCTATGAACTGGATGAGAACCAGCAAGGCAAAGGCCAGGATGAACATGAAGCCCAGAGGGTCGATGTACATGTACTCTCCAGTAAACTGTAGGTTGATGTCCACCTTCGGCACCTGGATAAGGACGGACCACTCTAAGAGCTGCAGGACGAAGGTCGCTATGAGCCAGAAGGCGTTGCAAATGAAGTAGATGAAGGTGATCTGTATGTGAGGAGAGAAGGCAAGGATTCATGTTATATTGTTACTGCACAATAGAACATGACACAAACATCATCAAAGGATTTCACAAACATGTAATTAGGTTCATCTAACATAAAGTCACCTTGTTTCTCAAATCCTTGAGTTCCTCTGCCATTTTTTTCTGCTTCTTTTTGTTCTCAGGAAGAGGCTCCAGGTATTTGGTGATCATCTCTCTGAAGAACTGCTCCTCCTCCTGCAGAGAAATACAGAATCTGTCTGTCATGCTGCTTCAGGTTTAAATTTTACTTTGCCCCTGCTAGTGCAACACACATGCTTAACTTGCACAAAACGCAGAGTGATAAAACGAGATATTCACACCTGGTCAAGGGAATCTTCCTGCAGGCGCATGTCATCAGACAAACTCTGCAGTTGTGTGACCCAACCTGCAGAAAAGAGCACATTAAAGTTTCTGAATCATCGTCTTTTGCAACTGATTTTCAGCTTATTTTTGCTAAACTCCCTCATATGAGGACTTACACTGGTTAGGGCAGGTGAAAGCAGGAACCATTTGCCTGAAACATAGTAAGAAATAACAATTATTGACAAAGCAGTTTATATATCATTTAATCAATGTACTATATAAGACTTCATACTGACAGCTCACTCTACATTAGGCTTTTCACAAGTTTCTCTAGTCAGTCATAATATGATACAAACCCTGCAATCAATGTTCCTTCAGATCTTACCTCTGCTCCTGCGCAGGACTCCTCACTTCCTCCACAATAGTGTTTTGGGGTTGAAGTTGAGGCTCTGGTGCCACCACACCGCTGAGCTCTTCTTCACTTCCTCTCCGACAGAGTTGTCGACAGCATTTGGACCGTGTGAAGAACTGTGCAAATGTGCTTTTGGCTGCAAGAGTAAGCATCAGTTTTAGTGCAAGTCAAACATAAAATGATACATAGTTTTAGTAGTAGTTTAAAATTAGTGAATGGTAAAGGGTCAAAGAGGGCATGATTGATGCAGACCTTAAGTACTGATTGATACCATATAATTAAAAATTGTCAATAATCAGCCCATTGTGGCTCAAAATGTAAAAGATTTAAGTAACTGGCTTTCTCAAAATGCATGCACAATAATCTCAATAATCTTTTCTAGACATTTTCTAAGGTTAAACTAGTCTCTACCTTTCTGGACTTGGGTTTGTGGGGCGGTGGCTCCAGGAGCTGCCGTCTCCCTGGTGCCCCAGGACACATTGTTCATGTTGACCATGGAGTAAATAGCCAGCAGCATATAGGCGCTGGGGATGCAGAGGATGTACAGCAAGCCAAAGCACACCAGGCCAACCTCCTGAGGATGCATGAGTGCAGTAAGGAGGTAAAAAGTGGCAAGGGCGATGAGGAAGAGGCTGCTGGGAGTCATGATGGTTTTGTCCTTCACCATGTTGCCTGACGAAGAATAAACATAAATGGAAACTTAGAGGACAGAAACATTTTAGTATTAAGAGGCTTTGTCGAGTTTGTGTCTAACATACCAATTATGGAAAGTGCTGCTATCATCATGACGAAGGCGTACAGGATGCTCAAGACTGCTGCAATTAGGATCTGAGTGTCTGATTTGATCTTGAAGCTGATACCGAGGAAGATAGCCGGAGGGGTCAAAGACAGGACCAGAGCGATGTTGGGGTGAATGTCAAGCAACACTGTCAAACTACCTGAATGGTGGATGGGAAGCAAACAAAATAACTGCCTTAACAAACACACAGTAAAGTCACCATGATTATCACCTGACTTTCCCTGCATCATACTGAAAGTGAAATAATCCATTCAGATGTAGGTCAGATGTCTTCAATCATTTAATAATTGATTTTAACTTTATAACCAGATAAACATTTGAATAAGGTTATACATTTTAACTGTATCATTTGGAGTAAAATATTAATGCAGTGGACTGGACTGCTGTCTAGTCCTTTGTAACAAGCACCTTTGATTTCATTCTGTCATAAAGAAATACTTTAAAGTGTGTAGGATTTAGTGGTATCTACTGGTGAAGTTGCAGATTGCAAACATTTGAATACAGCTCAGCCTTCCAAGTGTGTAGGAGAAACAAAAGAAAAACACTGGTTTGTCCGTTGTAGGCTACTGTAGAATTTTACACACTGGACATAATAGTATACTTGCAAAAGAACAAGAATTGCATGATCTACAATTAAGCTCTAAGAATTTAATTTGACACACGTCCCAGAATAAAACAGTGACAGCTTTAACTCATTTCCATTGAGGTCCTGCTAAGCGTTTTTATTTGGCAGAAAAAAAAAAACTAAAACAAGCCTGACCTGCGATCATAAGGACGACGGTGGAAGGTGCCAGAATGGACGAGACCAAGCTGAAGAGCTGGTAGAACATGTAGGGTTTGGACATGGAGGGGTTCCTCTTGGTAACAAGGGTGCCAGAGCCCAGCAAGTCCACAATGTTGGCCATGGTGGACGGTCCCCATCGCCGACGCTGAAATATTAGACATAACATCCACATTGTTGAAATCTAGCTTTCGGTAGAGATTGCTGTAGTTTCAGTCAAACAACCAGCATGTTTTCTGGTTCAGTGTCCTTTGAATTACAAAAGGTTTAAAGTGGTTCTTGGTGATCACCTGGTTGTAGAACTCTTTGAACTCCTCCGGGGCGTTGGTGTAGGCGTCGGAGGCTGCATTGTACTCCACTCTCCACCCCTGCTTTAGCAGCAGAGTGCACAGCCAGCGGTCCTCACCTGCAGAGACAACACAGAAATATTCAGTTGGTCTTCATCTGAGCCTTCAAGCATGCAAAGGAACAGTCGGCAGGAGGTGCTAAATATTTAGCATACATATGTATTTATGTATTATTATTTATATAATTATTATTATAAAGACACTGCTGAGACTTAATTGATAGTTTTCAGTTGATAATTGTTATGCAAGCTGTTGTGCAAACACAGACAAGCATATAACACATTATGTAACATTTACTGCACGGTACGTACAACTTATTCCATGTACAATTCACATCTGGTCAGTTTTGTCCTACGGCAATGTCTGCTTGTAACCTGTAACTAACCAGTGTTAGCTTCCTAATTCATCTCATTTTGTAGCATACTATACTACCTGGAAGAATTATATAGCAATGCAACCTATAAATAGGCTATTTGATCAGGTTACAACTACTGAACAATGTTTAAATTTAAGTTTGCCACCATACCAATAACCTTTATTTAGGAATTTGCCTTGTAAGTCCACATTACCACAGTCCTCTTCATAACATGTATCTATAAATTGTGTACTGTCTGCTCTAGAATTAATCAGCCACAGTATAAAGCGTCTATTTGAGTTTTCGGTTACCTTGGTCGTACTGGATGTGGTGTTTAGCCTTTGTGGCCTTGATGGTGTATCTTTTCATCACATTGTCATCCATCAGCGCTGCTGCTCTGAACAGACTGAAGCAGCCCGGGCTGCAAAGCACGCAGCCAAACACATGCTCTGCTGTCTTGTGAAGCCAGTGGCCCACTGCGTATTCAAACTTTTGGTACCACACCATGGGACCTAGCAGGGAAATACAGCAGTGTTATTACATAAATAATGTATTTGGGAAGTGCTGAATGTGTTTGTTTGAAGTTGTAACCTTACAGTACAGTACAGTCTTTCACTGACAATATATTGTAATCATGCAGTGTGGTCTGGCATTGGAATGCATGAATTAACTTTGGACATAGGTTATTGTAGAGTACACTGTACAATTCATAGTCCTCTGTTTAACCTAAACTACATGAACCATTACTGCATCCAGTTGGACGATTAGATACTGGGTTGACATTGCTTTATCTGTTTCCCGTCCCTGTATTTGACCAACCTGATCCAGTAGGGTGAATCCGGCCACATGCTGCCCCGACAAGCGGATACAGTTTCAGACGATCGATGAGCAACATCACAGCAGCTGGCTGAAAGTCTGTGTCTCCATCTAAAGCCAGGAGGTAGGTGTTGTGCTTCTCTTTCTGGGGGAATACGCACAGTTTTCTCTGTTTTACATTTAAATCTTTTCATATGTATATACTGCAAATGTACTGTATGTTGGTGTGTATGTCTTCACTGGTTCCTGTGTGCGTAAAAGCGTTTCCTCTCATCTCACCTGAAGCTCTCTTTTCAGTTCGGCCTCGTCCTCTCCTTTCTCCAACCTTTTGTAGTAGTTGGTTGTAACTTTCCAGCCCAGGAGATAATACAAGTACATGACCTGGAAAATATTAAATACTATTTAGCAAACAAACTCTGACACACATATTTTAGTTACAAATAACAAAACTACCTGTCCGCAAAGGTTTTGAACAAATTTGGCAAAAATTACCCCCCCAAACTTTTCACATTATCTTCCTCTAATTCACCAGGTTTATGTTGGATATACGTAGATATTTGAAGATTTGAAATCACATTATCTCACTGCAGAGGTGGAAAATGCAGTATTCATTTTAATAATTTTAATTAAAGACCAAGTAATACTATCAAAAGCAAATGTCTCACTGACAATAGAGGAAAGGCCAGGAACCTACATGTTGTGAGTGCTGACTGATGTTTTAAAGCTACAAAATGTTTGAGCTAGATAGTCATCAAACTCCCACCTGAGACCATCTCTTCTTGTGTCGGATGAGTTGTTTGTCCTTGAAGTGAATCATCAGGCTGTTTCCATGAGGCATGTTGACCACTACATGTCCTCCGTACGGCGTCCTCACGATCTTCTGATCAGGGATCTGCTGCTGCTTTTTGAAGACGTCTTTATCGAGGTTTAGGAAGATACTGATGACAGAGGATGAGAGAGGGAGAATCTGTGAGATCTTCATCATTTGTTAAACTGTCATCCTTGAGTTTCACAGATTTTACCTGTAAACTTCTCGGATAATTTCCACAAGCATCTCTGCATATTCGTTGACGTGGCGCCCTCGACTTCCGGGAACATCACTGAAGGCATCGTCGAAGTAGATGTGGCCTTCAAAAGTCACATCACTTGTTTCTCCTTCCTTCTTTGGCCTGTACCTGTCCAGTCTGGGAAGTAACAAGAATCACATAAAGCTACTGTGATGATACTGGTTCACAATCAAAAGGAAATTCCACCACGATTTTATTTAGCTAAAATCCACCAATACGGCCCGTAATTTCCATCAACTTTCAGGAGTGATGAAACTGAACTGTACAATCCAAGATGGTTGAGGAATATTCTCTGGACAGCCATGATTTTATATCTAATATTTAACTAGATATTAGTCCCGCTGACCAAAAACCACAACACAAATTATATACTTCCTCTGCAGTAGCTGCTCTACAACATAACCACAGCGATCAAAACCATGGGGATAACAATGAAGACAGCCAGTGGTAGTTCAGATAGTTCTTCTAATTCTGTGTATTGGCTGGTTTCAGACTAAAAACCATGTTTACCTACATGCATGTCATTGTGAAAACCAATCTACTCAATAACATTCAGGAATTTCTTTTGCTAAAAGAGGGGTAAACATGGGTAAATTGCCTAATAGCTTGTTTCTGTAGTTACTAGCTGGCAATGTGAAACTTACCGAAATATTGAAATTATTATCTTCATCATCTCGTCGTAAGTTTCATGCCACATGGTGGCACAGAGGAACACTTTCACCGGGTCTAGTGGCCTGAATCTGGAAATGACACGATTTTTTTGAAAGTGTCTTTACATTGAGACACTGACAGTAATCCCACACATACACATGCTTCTCTGAGCCTCCTTATCATGACCTCACACTACTATAAACCTTGTGCACCACAGTACAGATAATCTTTTTGGACACACCTTAGTGTTTAGCACCTACTGTTTGTTGGCAGAAGGCCATGAATATTTTTCATTCAACATTAATTATGGAGCTTCATAATTGCAGCCTTTGTCTACAGATTTTTTTTTTATTATGACCTTTTTATTTACCACTTGTCAACCTGTTTTGTTACCAATACAAATTTAAAACCTTAAAATTAGAGATAAAACATGTGTATGCAAGATAAAGAACATTAAGTAGATCATTTAAGTGTTTTTAAAGATGAGAAAGACAGATAACAGTTGACCAAGAACTCCATTCATAAAAACAAACTCAAGTAAGTGAGTAAGCTTAGTACTTTTTGAACACATGAAACTGATCATGTTTTTGGAAGACATTATTTATATATGTACATAAGTATAAAAATGTGTCATGGAAGAACAAGAAAAAAAACAAGAACCTAGGAATGACTGAAACAAAAAACACGCAGGAGGAAGAGTTGATGCCTGTACCACTGCTTAATGGGATTATTCTACACATATTTTAATCCAGCCATCTTCTCCCCAGTCTAACCCCGGTTTTAAAGTCAGAAACCTAAACTAATCATACATGTCCAAACTTGAACCTCACTTTGTAGGATATTCCTGATCTTCCCAACAAACACACACATGCACACACACGCCCACACACACACACACACACACACACACACTTACTTCTTTTGCTTCTCAGTCGTCTGGATGTCAAATCGAGCATTTAGAAGCAGTGACTGCTCTATAAATCCTCCTTCGTACAACCTCCTGATGAACAGGTCCTGTGTCCTCTGGATGCGATACAGACTGAGGTTCCAGATGTGGACAGTGGCCAACACAAGACCGAGCCACCAGGACACTGCTGAACCTTTAGAAGATGTAAATGTGTCTCAATGTTTTTTATGCCAAAATAGGACGTTTGACTAAATAACTTCAAACTTCAACTTCAGCATCAAACTCTCCACAAATACTAATACTAATTCAGATGAATGAACATACTGTACAACAGAATGTGAACTATCTCTTAATGTAAAGTATAGTGTCACACTGTAGCTCAATATTATTACCTGTCAGCATGCCAATGTCAGTTATCTTGGACATGTCCAGGAAGCACAGAGTGTGTGTAACATCCAGAACCAGATGTGGGAACACACTGCCGCTTTGGTTTCTTCCATCCACAACTACATTGCAGTAGCCTGTGAAGTTGATGCTTTCAGTCCCGTTCAGACTTATTCTGTAGTCCTGATAGTAAACGATAACAGGGATGATGAGCAGAGCCATGACAGCCAGAGAGGCCAGGTACAAAGGCAGGATGAAGCACCGTCGCAGGGCGTGCATCTTGCAGGCAGCCACAGCAAACCAGTGGCAGAGTGCAGAGGAGACCAGCTGGACCCCAATGATGATGGCTATAATTCTTGTCTCACGCCTCGGGATGGAGGTCACTATGTCCCAGTCCATTTTGGCCAGAGGGACGTAGGCTCCGAGCACACAGGCGGTCACCACGATCCTGAGCAGGCTTGAGAGGATGTGCAGCATCGTTTGGCTCCTTCTCACATCTTTACACAACTCTTTGAGAAAGACAGAGCTGCTGTTCTCGCTGATGAGTCTCAAGTAGTTCTCCCACCAATTGAAAGACACCAAGAAAGCCCCACCAACAGCCAGACCCACCCAAATGCCCCTCTTGATACCAGTAGGATCCTTCATAATGTATAAGACGAGGAACAGGACGTAACCGAGCAAAATCAGGATAAAGGCAGTGATGGATGGCGCCAGGAAGCGGTTCCTTTCTTTGGCAGTGCACTGAGTGACCACCTGTAGGAGCGCAGAGAGGACGGCTACACCATTCAGTATCGTCACGTTGGTCACGATGTCCAAGTGTGGCATTGCTACGATTGTGAGAATCGCTGCACCCAGAGACACGATGAACTCAAAGAACAGAACCTGCAGAAGAGAAGTAGAACATTTATAATACATTGAACACAAATCTCTCACCATCTTATGAGAGATTTCCTCTTTAAGCATCAGTTCAGCTTTACAAGTATCAGGGGATTGTTGCAACACAAACCTTTGCTCTTAACACAGTGCTAGGGAGCTCGTAGGACATTGGGAGGTGTATTTACACTACTACTATAGGAGCTAGCATAGGAGAAGAACAACACATTCCAGTTTTCTACCAGTGACAAGATTTTCATAGAAGAGTTCCTGGTAAGTGTACTGAAAGTGAAGAGGCCTTTTAGAATTCAGCATTTAACTAAAAATATATTTTAAAGATAATATTTCAGGTAACTGTGCCTTATATGCCCAAGTCTGACTCTTGGTATTGGTTGGCCCACCATATCAAATTAGGTTTAGCTTGATGAGTTCGAAAACATTTTCTATGACATATAGAAGATTTTAGAATGAGTGAAAATAGAGCAGCGACAGTCACTGGCATAAACATTCTTCAAGGTATCAATCAAAAAGGTGAGAGTTAAGAAATCTTATTAGGTTTCTCACCAAAGCCATCGTTGTTTTGACCGGCACCTTTGAGGATTTATAACACGCCTTCCAGATGCTCTTTTGCAAGAGAAGCACACTGGACGCGATGAGAGAGCAGCCGATACACAGCAGAGCGACAGGTTTCTGCTCAGCCGGGAGGGTCTTGGTGCCTTCATTGGACAAGGTGATGAGGAGGAGGAACGAAGCCTGGAACAGAGAACAAAGTTGAGGCAAGACAGGAAGATAAAAGTGCTTCACAGAATGAGAAAGGGAGGGAAACTTTGTCCTCAATACCTCTTAAAGATTTCAGATGTTATATTTGAGTTAACTCAGTTAACTTTTACCACTTTACTTACTTTATATACTTTGATATACCTGGATGAATACTGCTGACTAGTCTTGTTTTTAAACATACTGTAAAATTATATTTACTGTTTGTTCAACTGTTTGTTGTTTGTTGTTCTTCCTGTTAATGGGCACTTTCATTATCCTTTATACAGCCCCTGTAAAAGTGGAAGTGCTCACCAGATATACATTCAATTGAAATTATAGTTCCCATGCAAGACTAGTGGTTGATTTTGGTAAGTGAAAATGTTTTTTGACACAGTATAGGTCGATGTATGTATATAGAAACAAACCTTGCTACATAGAGCCAATCCAAACACAGTCACAGCAACTACACAGAGACTGATAGCCTTCAGTAGTTTGATCAGTTTCCATGGCGTCTGTTCATCTTCAATGACGGGGATCTCTCGACAGGTGTCCCACGGCCTCCTGGTTAAAGACAACAAATGTCAAACTCTGATGGTGACTGCAGGTAGAAAATTAAATTGGTGGGACATAGAGAGAGAGAGAGAGAGAGAGAGAGAGAGAGAGAGAGAGAGAGAGAGATCTGCAAGAAGGCAGGAAGGAAAGGAGGTTGATAGGAAGGTTGTTAGTAAAGTAGGACGTGGAGAGAAGTGGTGGAATGTTTCCAGGAAAATAACTTGTTGGGTAAAGAGTTGGAGGATTGTAAATTGAATACGTATTAGATTACATATTGGCAGGTACAGTGAAAGGCAGGTGTGGATCTATTAAACTGATAACATACATTTAGGTTTAAAAACAGGTAGAAAATAAACAAAATGTACACAAATGTTTAGCTTTATACATATTTATCATGAATAAAACAACTTTAAACAAATCCAATACAACAAAATGATGTCTAGATCTATAGAAGCTTACAGAATACATCACAGCATAAGGAAACAATGAGTACGTTGCTTTTTTTAAAAAATAAGTGTGTAAAAATGTATAATAGATGCTATAGAAAATGACTGAATTGTTACTCTGACACAGTGTCAACATAAATTGAACATTATAAGCCTCACAAAGGTACTGTAGCTGGACTGAATCAGGTAGAAATTAACAGGTGCTCATATATTTGTAAATCTTGTAAACAATTTTATCAAAACCAGAAGATCTTCAGCTAAAAAACACAAATCTTCTTGAATTGATTTGAACACTTTAAAAGAAAGAACAACTGAATAATACATACAAATAATAACAATCTATTTTCTTGTTTTTCAAGAAAGCTTTTCTTCCGATAAAGCAATCAATTTATAAAAATATCCCATCCCTGCATAATTGATAATAATCTTCCTTTGATTATTACCTAATAAATAAATGATTTATATTAATAATAACAGCTATATAAAATAAAATAATAGAGATGCATCAGTTGTTCAGTTAAAAAAGATTCCACTCACTTGGGCAAGCTCCTGTCTTCCTCCATGTTTCTGACTGATGTGAGCAGTCTGATTGATTGTTGGTTTGTAAATAACGATGTATTCAGATTCCATCGTCATGACAGTCAAAGTCTCATTCAGCCCTTCATTAAATGGCAACACCCAGAACAGGGTCAAAGTGACTCACATTTTATACTTTCATTTCTTTTCAAAATGTAATTTATAATTTCATATTTTAATTATTTTCAAAGTTTGTTTTAAGGTCCAGTTTAGGTTCGGATCAGATCAGAACTCCCTCGTTTCATCCTCCCCTAGCAAACATATAGGAGAAACTACGGTGGTCGTGAAAACTTTTTTGTTTCTACTGTAGAAACATGGTGATTAGATATGTAGATTTAAAAGGATATAAAAACATAACTATTCCTTTATTCCGGTGATAATAAACTAATTAAAACCTACCTACCTATGAATATTATATTCAATTTCTTACTGCCAATAGATTCTCTTAAATATTAAACACTGGACCTTTACATTTTAACTGAACTGTGAACACTCTGGTCTCAAAGGTTAACAAGGAAATGAAAGTGCTCTTGTGGTTTTTACCATGCTGATTAGTCATGTTCGTCAGTGATTAACATTCCTCGCTGTATTATTCAAAGGCATCTTTCTGTGTTTCACGTCAATTATTTTATTGTGAAACATATTTCACACATTATACAACCGTCACATTGTATACGAAAACATTACATGTGATGGTCTTTCCAAAAACTACAAACATAATAACTGCATAACAGTATCTCATCAGATGGAGTAAGTGTCATTAATTCATTATTATTTGTATTTCATTCCCAGTGGACCTATTTTTGTAGCATATACATGTAATGGCATTTTTGCCTACTATAAAAAGATCACTTTTATTGTCTGGTTAATGTAATCATAGAAAACACACAGGATATTGGACAAAAAAACAAAACAAATAAGTGTAACTTGGGGATTTAAATAAAAAACCAACAATGTCACATGTACTGTAATATTTAATTTGTTAAATGTTACGTGTGATAAATTCAAAGGGACATGGTGTTTATTCACACATAAAATGAAATATTTCACTTGAGAAATCCCAAATTTCAAATGATGAATTTCGCATAAATATCAATTATTTTATAAAGAGTCTCAGTCTTGGATCCTCCAAAGGACATAGCACATGGAGGTGTGAGGTTGGCCTCAATTGGTCAATCAAACAAAACAGGACAGTTTGAGGACTGTATGACCAAACTGTGCAATTAAAAGTATCCATTGCAGCACTGTGACACAGTTGAGCCCTGGTCTGCTTTAAAGCCCACACTGAATCAAGCTCTTACAGCCTGTAGGAGCTATTTTTGACTATAAGGTTGAATAAAATATAAATGAATTATCTTTTCTCTTTGTTTGCACCATGCACACTTGCACAGATATGATTTACATATCAATGTTGTGCATGTAAATCTGTTTTTATTAGATGGTGAATTTTGCTGCACTACAGAAAAGTGGAGCAAAAATGGGAACACACCCAGATATGTACTTCTTCTAGTGTTAAATATCATTTAAAAGATGCTTTGGGGATTGCGGACAGACCTGAACTTCAGGCTGTGATTTTGTCACACAGACACAATGAACCCACAGATCTGCTGAATCATGAAATGAAATCTTGATTTTGTAAAAACAATATCTGATAACTTCAATATCAATGCAAGTTAAGAACTTCCTAATTGGATAATAATAATATCAAGAATAATAATAGCTTTTGTTTAAATTACATTTCACATACCTTGTCTGTGGTTCTCAGTCTACTACTCAATATCTTTAAAAACAGGCCACAAACACATACTTTTAGATTTACTTATAGACAAACAGACACATTTTAATCCAACAGCACAACCCCGGACTCTGTCCTGATTGCATTTGATTACTTCTCGCTTGACCTCTGACATTAGGGACGGATCCACTTGAAGAGGCGGGGGGAGGTGACAGTACCACTTCCTACATTATCAATCTGTACTTAGTTTGTTGGGTTTTCCAGTGTGAACAAACATATTGTTACAATTTCTGTATTAGTTGCAGTTGGGAGTGTTTCTCTGCATATTCATTAAGGTCAGTGTTTGGTCGATTCCTCCATCTGTCTGAGGTTGTTGTTGCTGGGACAAAAATTAAACTAATACACTCAATGGCCACGTTCACACAGCAAGCCTTCGCTCTCAATTCCGGTTTACAATTCAGGTATACACAAAACAAAAGCTTTAAATACTCTCTCTCTGACACACAGACTTCTTTTCGTTTAAACTCACGACCCAAGGCCCTTTCTGTTTGTTTGAATAAAAGGTGTGTTAATGTATCAGTGCAGGTTTCAAGCATGAGTGGGTGTCAGTCTTGTGCATATGACTGTCATTGTGCAATCTAATTATTATTAATCTTATGTGCTGTTGCTGCTCTCTAGTGACATGCAGGTGTAAGAGATTGCAAAATATGTGTGTGTATCGTGAAGTTCAGTTCTTCAGCTCCACTATATGTATACACACAGCTACCAGCTCTAAAATATGCCTGGCCACTCCAATCTGGCATCAAATGATGTCAAATTGAAGACTAATTTAGACTTAGATATTTAAAAAAAATTATTAGCATTTCCAAAAAAAAAGATTTGGAAATAAAACAACTGAATGATGTATAATTCCACCTTTAGATATTTATATTCAATGCTTTAAGGTGTATGTGTGCCACAGTAATGTTTTCGACTTAAAATATCTTAATTTGGGAGCTTTTCCAAGCAAATATTGATGAATGTGATTGTTTGCTATTAAATCAGCATATATTTCTGCCACCACTTACAGTTTCCATGCCACCCCTTGAATATTTCTCTAGCTCCGCTGCTGGTGTACTCAAGAATAAATGTCATAAAATGAAAGCAAATGTACCAAAAATGTCGAGCTGAATGCAGCAGGCAATGTTCAAAATGATCTAATCTTCCCCCTCACACACATATATTTACACATACATAGGTTATTCATACTCTTATACATTTATTAAGTAATGAGGCTGTTGTGAGCTCAGTTTCACCAAAAAATCCACATATGTGTGTTTCTGTTCTGTGACGACCTGTCATATTTATTCATAACTTCGTCATGCTGAACCAAAAATCTACTTCTATATATAATCCATCATAAATCTACAATGCAACAGTAGAGCATCCATGTTTGAAGCTTTGAGAGGCAGACAAATTAAAATGAAGTTTTTGGCCAGTTTGTATATTCTGTCCATCTAATCCACTTTTGTTTCGTTGTATTGCACCAATATTTAAAATAAAAATGGTAATTCCCTACAGCCATGTATAACATAACACAACATGTATTAGCTATGTACCCTGAATGCTAGAAACTTGGGGGGTGCTTGTGTTTTTAATGAACTGTTATCTGATAACAGAGGGTTTTTGCATACATTATAAAGTCATTACAAACCACACAAACCTGTAAGCCACGGAAACCTCAACAAGTAAACTAACGACCAACTGAGGCGTTGTCTCATAAAAAGATTCTTGAGCAACCGTAAGTGGGTGGCATTGTGACCTTTATAATTAAATAATGATTCACTTAATTTGTATTTGTTGTCACATGCATGTAAATCTCTGGAGAAGTTCCAAAATGTGGGTTTGTGTGCAAATCCCTTAACTGAAGGTGTAAGTCATAAAACATCCCACGCCCTCAGAAAACACGGCGTACATGACGCTTACATAACCTTCAAGACAAAAGGGGAGATCATTTTATAAGAGCACACTCACACACTCACACGCACACACACACACTCACACGCACACACACACACTCACACACACACGCACAGTACAGAGGGAGGGACTTGGGTACAATACGGGACTCTGAATGCCGACCATGGCACTGATGATAAGTCAAGTGACATTATAGTTTTATTATATTATTATTATTATTATTATTATTATAACTCCATTATACGGACAAAAATCCACCAGTTTGCAAGAACTACTAACATTAACAACTACGAACTACTTCCAGTTCAAGTCTAAAGTCTCCAGTTCAGTGAAGTTCATTCTTGGACTCGGAAACAGTAGTTGATATAAAAAACAAGATCTATTAAGAAGCTGTTCCTGAATTTTCAGTGGTGTTTTCTCTGATTAACAGTCATTTCCCTTCATTATTTTATTTCATAAATGCTCGACAAACTTTGTTTTTTGGTTTTCTTGTTGATTAGATTAAACATTTCAAGCCGAAAACAAGAAAACACTTTCTTCTTTTTATTTTTACCTGTGTGTTGAATCACCACCAGATGGCAGTGATCAATTAACACTGTTCCACTCTGCTCTACGCTGCCCACAAACTGGCATTCTGATTAGTGTGCAGGTGATTATTAAAGTATGGTGTCAGGGAGTTTTGTGTGTTTTAGATGCACATGCATTCAATTTCCCATCGTTGAAATTGAACTGGATTGAATTCTTAGTGTTTGACAGAGTAGAACATCCAAACAATGTGGGCATGACAGTTCAAACAGAGCAACAACAGATTCAAGAAGATTTCAGCTCTAATGGCAAGGTTGCTTCATAGTATTACATCTTTCAGACACACATGGTCAGGAGTTAGAGTTAGGTGTAGGAAAAGAAGAGAACAGGAAAATCAGATATTTCAGTTTATTTATTGCAAAAAAAAAATACTGATTAAACTGAAGAATTTGTTTTCTGTTATTCGTACGCAGGTCATAGATTTTTTTGGATTCAACTTTAGATTATGAATGGACCTCAGCTCTACGTCTTAACCACCCAATCATTTCTCCAAAGGAGTGTTTAGTGTTCCTTTTATTACATCTCTCCCCCCTGAACCCTTTCTTTCCTTTTTTCCCCGTCTCTCTTATCCAAATACGGGAACCACTGGGGCTCTCTACAAGAGGTACGAAGAGACGGCTCCTCCACTCAGAGTCGCACAACCCACTCGGTTCCCTCTCACCATCTCGATGAACCCCTTCATCCATTCATCCATCTGCCAACGGACCCACCTCTCCTCCATCCATTCATCCCTTACCCTCCTTTCCAAAACCCCTTCTGTCCTCAATCCTCGACCCCTATCCCCTATCCCCCATCCCTCGACCCTCATCCCTTCATCCCTCAACCCTCCATCCCTCAACCCTCGACCCTTTATCCCTCCACCCTGATCCCCTCATCCCTCAACATTCATCCCTTGACCCTCATCTTTTGGATGCATGCAGCCTCAACTGCAAACGTTTTTCCCCCAAGTTTATGTTTTATTTGATATTCAAAATGAATACAGATGTAGTGAAATTCTACATGAAACTGCACATGCACTAAAAGGAAATGTATCAAACATTGCAATTATGTGCTGCGTGTCCTTCTGAATTATGACTGCACAACTATGTGTATATTCATGCATATAGCCATTTACACCTACGAGTACAGGAGCTCAACCTGTACTCTTGCATAAATGTTTGTCCTTGCTGTTGCTTTTTTTTTAGAATAATTAAAGCTAATGGTCACCCTGATGTGGCTGAACTTGAAGGGTGCAGGTAGATTTCTCCTCTTATTCCAGTCTTACAAGTTGCACAGCCAGTAGAAAGAGAGTCAACTCTAATCTGATAAAACACATCAAAGAGGCCGCAGTTTAAAAGATACAGGATACAGTAGACTAAGTGGAAACATTCTTATATATTTAATTTACAGTTTCAGATGTGTTACGTCCCCCTTTTGAGTAAAAACAAAACATAAGCATGACAAGAAATTGCCAAGTCGAAAATAATTGTGACAGTTAAAGTAATTTATTTTTCAAGGCAAACATTCACAAAGGTGTGGGGAGGATTGGATAGGGAGGTTGTGCCAAATAATGATGAAAATAATATAACAAAAGTAATCTAACTACTGCTACTGAACAAAACACAAAGAAAAATACTCCAAAACATACAAGGGTGGCACCAACCACCAACCCTAGTGTCTCATGGAGCATGGTGATATTACTTAAATGAGTGGTGCTTTTGTGTGCAACTGCCAAGTCACCTAAAAATATTCATATCTAAAGCATATTTAAAAACTTCATCAGAAAAAGCTTTATTGGGAAACAGGAACACAACACAAAACATAGAAATCATCAACAACTCAACTCCAAAAGTAATATAACACAGCATAGACAGCAGCACAGCACTTTACTTTAGATAGATTCACTTTTTTTATCCTTCATTCAAAAATAAATATAAATACAGATTATTATTTGATATTTGGCAATACTTCTTGGCCCGTGTGATTCTTATGATATGCATTATGTCACCAGTAGCTTCTTTTTTTACCCATCAGAGAAGAACTCTAAGAGGAGTTCGTGCAGCATCAAAGCATTTTTACCATTATTACAAGCAATTGATTATAAGAGCAATACAAAGAATATAAAACATTTCTTCTAATATCTTGTGAATTAAAGATACAATTCCAGAAAAAAGGTTAAAAAAGGGTCACCTTGTGCATGTGCATATAAATACACTTGATAAAGACGTCCAGCAATCACAGCAGAAACTATAATACGGTGTGTGCTGTCCTGATCAGTGCGGTGCAGTATTTCATTCTCTAAAAACAGCTTATCAACTAACCTGTTTGACATTTATCTTAAACGATCCAAGATTTAAGACTTCCCTGATCTTCAGGATTCAGTTAATGATTCACCAAACCTCAGACTGGATTTCTTCACCATTAAAAGAACTTCATGAGTTTCTCTGTGACAGTAGATGTAGATGATAGTGTCATTTCTCTTCACATTGCCCATTTTGTTATTAAACTTAATTTATCCAACTTCACATTACAGTTTCATTAAGCACAGAAGAAGCAAAGTCAAAGAAAACTAAGATTTACAGTTTAACTTAAGATCCTTCATTAATAGCATTAACATTGTTAAAGTTACTGACCTGATATTACCCTCTTTTGAACACAACAACAGTTTTTAAAGGTTGTGTTTTTCTGTCCCTGAGTTCCTTCAAAGCAAGATTTTTATAAATAAATTGCACTGAACTTAATGTAAACATAATATAAATAATCCACATAATAAAGATTTGCTTTGTTCAAATAACACATACAGTATGTTTCAAAGTGCTAAAAAGTGTTGGTTGTGGACGGTCTGTGTTTACACCATAGTCCCTCCATTATTGCTTCTGTGGTACAATGTCGTGGAAAGGCTAAACTCATCATCACTGTCCTCAGGGTCAGACTCAACCTGGAGGGTGGAAGTGGTGCTGGCTTGAGACACAGAGCGGATCTGGGAAGAGAGAGAGGGAACATTAGTGCACATAAATCCCACCACACCTGGAACACTGGCAGGTGACTGAACCAAATGGTCACTACTTGTTCTCATGTAACCACAGTAGCAGGTTGATGTCAGTCTCTAATAGTTTCAGTAATTAAAGAAAAGTATTTGCAGGGCAATTTAATGTTATTTGCGTCTTAGCATGAGTAATTAGAGTGAGGTTGGTCCTACTCTTGTTGTTCTTTATGGAAATTGTTCATGTCTCATCTAGGGCATGATTATGAATGGTGGGTTTATCTGCTAAGATTACTACTGGTGACATTGCACTGTGCGTTGATATGATTGTGAGGCCTAAGTTGAAAAACTGTGAATCTATCCATTACCGCTATGGCTTGTTTTACACAGAATCTCTTCATTAACAAACTGAATGGTACAGAAAAACACAAAGTTTTGTGTCATTTAGCACTATAAATAACAATAAACTAGTATCATTGCAAGTTGTTACGACAGTAATTGTAGAATAGTATCAGTAGAAAAACAAGCAAATACACTACACTACAACACTAGTAGTAAAGTAGTAAAGTAATAGTGGTAAATACCTTTTTGTGTGAAGTGACGTTTAATTGTTCTTTTTCAGATTTCTGCTCTTTCGGCTCTGTTTCCAGAAAAGCTACATAATGTATCAAAGTGTAGATTCTAGATGAACATGAAAGAACAAGGAAGTTAGTTTTATGAAAAGGACAACGAATACATTAACATCAATAAAAGCACATTTCTGTTGAGTCATTTGATGTTAAGTGGTCACCTGTGGTACAGCATGGCAACAAACTGGATCAAAACTGATATAGCAAATCCCAGAATGAACATGAAGCCAATGGGATCAATTTGTACGTCTTCTCCGGTGTACTCAAGTTCGAGGTTGACCTTGGGGAGCTTGATGGAGATGGAGGCCTCGGAAAGCTGGAGGGTAAATGTCGCCACCAGCCACAGGGCATTCATGATGAAGAAAGCGAAGTTTATCTGTGTGTAATAAGAAAAATCGGATTAATTTAAAATGAACTGCGCAGTGGTTTCCTTCTAAATATGAAATATAGTTCAGCTCCCTACACCTACCTTGTTTCTCAGGTCTCTCAGGTCACTGGTAATCTTTTTCTGTTTTTCTTTGTCATCTGACAGAGGTTGTAGATACTTGTCCTGAAGTTCTCTCCAGAAGTCCTCCTCCTCCTGCAGGGAAACCATTTCAATTAATTATTCTGTAAATGTACTTCACATTGAAGCTATTATGTATACTTTTAGTGGTGTATTCCAAAATTCACCATCACTCTGTTCACTCAGTAAACCCCACAGGTAACACAATATTTGTGAAGTATACAACAAGTGTCCTATTTGTAATAATCATAAATGAGGGTTAGTATTTATTGTTAGTAGTTAGGCATGTTGAGAAGCAGCAAATGGCAAAAAATAACTATTGCAAATGCCCCAATGTAATGTTAAGATTAGTTGTTGTGTGAGCATTATTTTGATGAACTACAACAGGAATACACCCTGCTAACCTGATAAAACAAGACATACACACCTTGTCAAGTGAGTCCTCCTGCAGTTTCATGTCAGTGGACGCATTTTGTAGTTGTGTGATCCAACCTGGAGAAAGAAGCAAGACAGGGGGCTATTAGATAACGTCACATTTGCAAGTACACTGGAATTATTCTTGCAAAGTGATTGGACTTACATTGGACAGGAGAGTTGAAAACAGGCTGCACTTGACTGAAACACAATCAGAAAAATGATTAATATCATCAAACACGTTGAAATACTGAAATTGAATTGATGATCAGAACTTACTTCTGTTCTTCCTCTTGGATCCTTATGTCCTCCACAATAGTGTTTTGTGGCTGGGGTTCAGACTGTTGGATCAGGTTTTCCTGGCTGACAATGACCTGCTCTTCTCCAGATCTCTGGCTGGATTTCTTGCAACATTTGAGGCATGAAAACAACCGGCGGAAGGTGCTTTTGGCTGCAAGGGTAAAGATTAGCTTCAGTTTAGTCAACACTGGTCTAGTGTTGTACTGCAGGTGACATGACAATAAACTCATTTCAGCCTGATATCTACCTTTTTGGGCTGTTTGTTGTGTTATGTTGGCTTTAGGCTTGGAAGCTCCGGCAGCAGGTTTCGACTCTCGAGTGCCCCAGGACACGTTGTTCATGTTAACCATGGAGTAGATGGTGAGAAGGAGGTAGGCGCTGGGGATACAGAGGATGTAGAGAAAGCCGTGGAACACTAGCTGGATTTCCTGAGGATGCATTATGGCAGTGATGGTGTAAATCATGGCCATAGAGAGGACAAAAATGCTGCTGGGCGTCAGGATGGTTCTGTCCTTCACCATTGAGCCTGAAAAAGACATAAGCATGGAGAGTTTTTAGCATTAAAGCAGCTTTGAGCAGCTCTTCTAAAAAGAGTTTACCAAGCGCAAATTAAGTAACACACATGTCTGAATAAAGTGATACCTGTTTGAATATAACGTACCAATAATGGACATCGACACCACCAACATGAGGAATGCATATATGACACTCAAGATTGCTGCAATTGTGATCTGAGTATCTGCCTTGAGTTTGAAGCAAAGACCCAGGTAGATGACAGGAGGTATCACAGCCAGGACCAGGGCAGCACTGCCATTCATGTTTAAGACGAAGGACAAACTACCTGGAGATCACAACAGAGGAGGCACATACACAGGACTGAGTGTTACTACATTGGTAGGACAATCATAAGTCCAGTTGATCTCAAAACATTGTATGTGCGATTATACTCTGAAACACAAAACACCAACCTGCAATCAAAAGGCAAATGGTGGCGGGGGCCAGGATGGATGATGTGATGGTAAACAACTGGTACAACATGAAGGGTTTCGACATTGAATTGTTTCTTTTGGAAATAATGTTGGTAGAGCCCAGCAGATCTACCACATTGGCCATTGTGGACGGTCCCCATCGCCGACGCTGAAGATGGCAAAGAATCTTTATTATGACTGATATGGTTTTATGACTTGTAAGCAATAAGGTCCACATTCAAAGATGATTCTAAAATGCAGATTCTGAATATTCCAAGCAACAGCAGCTTGTCAAATCTTTGTGAGTATGTCAAGGCCATCATAATATTAGCGGAAAGGGTCTGATCTGCTGCAGCACTCACCTGGTTGTAGAGTTCTTTGAAGTCCTCCGGGGCATTGGTGTAAGCATCAGAGGCTGCGTTGTATTCCACTCTCCATCCCTGCTTCAACAGCAGAGTGCACAGCCAGCGGTCCTCACCTGCAGGGAACATAAAATGTATATGTGACAGGAGGAGGACGGAGGGACCGATTGGGAGCGCTATCACCAAGACTTAATGTTGCTGTTACCTTGGTCGTACTGGATGTAGTGGCTCGCCTCCATGGACTTGGTGGAGTATCTCTTCATCACGTTGTCGTCCATCAGCGCCTCTGCTCTGAACAGACTGAAGCAGCCGGGGCTGCACAGCACGCAGCCGATCACGTGCTCCGCCGTCTTCTGCAGCCAGTGACTGATAGCGTACTCGAACTTCTGGAACCACACTGCAGGACCTGTAGAGGAAACAACAGGTATTGTAAACCTCAACACAAATATCTGTCCAGTGCTGTCAATGGTGGATCTTAGAGTGATCTGTTCATATGATTGGACAGTTGCATTTTGTTTGTTTTTTCCATTTACTCAATTGGACAATATGCCAACCTGATCCAGTGGGATGAATCCGGCCACATGCTGCACCAACACGTGGGTACATTCTCAGACGATCAATGAGCAGCATCACAGCAGCTGGCTGGAAGTCTGTGTCCCCATCTAAAGCCAGGAGGTAGGTGTTGTGCTTCTCTCTCTGGCGAAACAGACAGACACAGTTTGATTTGTTTTACATTTAGGTTTTATTTTAAAATACTGTGGATATGGGTTCAGGCTCATCAAAAGAATCCACATTAATATGTTTCTCTTATGTCACCTGGAGGTCAGCTTTCAGCTCTTTTTCGTCATCTCCCTTCTGCCAGCGTTCAAAATATTTGGTCATGAGTTTCCAGCCCAGAAGATAGTAAAGATACATGACCTGGGGAATAAGAAATAACAAAATTGATATTTCTCGGGCTTCAAGTGTTCAAGCGTTGTTGAGTTTAAAATAGACAAATGAAAAGTCTTAGAACATTATGAAAACCCCACATTCTAAATATAAAGTTAAATGTGACACATATAATTATATCTTCTGGGGTCTAAAAGTAATTATTTTCCTACCTGAGACCATCTCTTCTTGTGTCGAATGAGTTCTTTGTCCTTGAAGTGAACCACAATATTGTTCCCATGAGGCATGATGACCACAAGTCGACCTCCGTACGGTGTATTTATGACCTTCTGATCAGGGATCTCCTGCTGCTTCTTAAAGAACTTCTCATCAATGTTTGTGAAGATGCTGTTGACATAAAATGAGAGAATCCTTTGATAGTTGCTTGTACTTCCTGAAGGTGGTGTGCCAAATGCTACTGTCAGGTCAGAACTGGACACTTAACACTTAAATGCCTGATTCTTACCCATAAACTTCTGTTAGGATTTCCACGAGGTTCTTTGCAAAGTTGTTGAGGTGGGGCCTCTGACTGCCCTCGACATGTTTGAATGCATCATCAAAGTAGATATGGGCTTCGAAGGTGAAATCGTTGAACTTTGGGTCATTCTTTGGTCTGTACTTGTCCAGTCTGCAGTGTTCAGAGAAACACAAAGAGGAACTGTGATAAAGTACATTTTGGGGATAACATACTGCTAAACTGGACACAAACTGTTGGAAAATAAAATCATGTGACAGTAACAAACTTAACTGACCAGATGGTTGATGATAATAACTCCTGTTTTTGCACTCAAATTAAGCAACTATTTCTACTACTGGTTTTAACTGAATTGAAAGGCTCAAATTATCTTGGCTGTTTAAGCAAGAATCTGATTTATTCTATCTGTAGCTGTCTTTATGTTCAGAGATAAATTAGAGGAATGGGTTTGTGTAACTCACCTAAATATTGAGATAATGATGTTCAACATCTCATCGTAGGTCTCGTGCCACATGGTCGCGCACAGGTACACCATCGCTGTTTCAAATGTCCTAAATCTTGACATGACAAGATTTTGCAAATGGGAGTAACATTTTTTAAACAGTTTGCAAAAGAAACAGTGTTGACAGCCTAAAATAACCAGCCTAAAAAGCCAAAACACACCTTGAAGAATCAACAATCTTGCTTTAGATGATTCTTTGAGGACGAAATAGAGGAAGATTCCTACACATACACTTACTTCTTAATTTTGTCTTTTGTCTGGATTTCGAATCTGGTGTTGAGGAGCAGCGACTGCTCAATAAAGGCTCCTTCATACAGCCTCCTGATGAACAGGTCTTGGGTCCTTTGGATACGATACATGTTGAGGTACCACAAATGGAGGGTTGCCAACACAAGGCCGATCCACCAGGACACTGCTGAACCTGATGGACAATTAACAAACACCAACTTTAGATACTGCATAAGTACCTACATCTCTACTTTATGATGAGGTTTTTCAGCGTATCCAGAAAAATGCAAGGTTAACTGGTAACACTAGTTATACTAGTTACATGGTAGTAGTTTTTGGTCATTTCCATGAGATCTTTCTTTAAAGAAATGGCTCCTTCACAGACCTGGGTACCGTGACTGGCAGGTATGTAGAACAGTGTGGCCCTGAGAACATTCATACTCTATAACTATTATAACTATGTGTTTTAGTCTGGTGACTCTATTTTGAAAAAAAAAAACACATACCTAAGGTAAATTATTTTCCATCTGTGTATGGTATATATCTTGTGTCAAATAGCATTGTAACCTATTTTATTACCTGTCAGCATGCCAATGTCAGTTATCTTGGACATGTCCAGGAAGCACAGAGTGTGTGTAACATCCAGAACCAGATGTGGGAACACACTGCCGTTCAAGCTTTGGTTTCTTCCATCCACAACTACATTGCAGTAGCCTGTGAAGTTGATGCTTTCAGTCCCGTTCAGACTTATTCTGTAGTCCTGATAGTAAACGATAACAGGGATGATGAGCAGAGCCATGACAGCCAGAGAGGCCAGGTACAAAGGCAGGATGAAGCACCGTCGCAGGGCGTGCATCTTGCAGGCGGCCACAGCAAACCAGTGGCAGAGTGCAGAGGAGACCAGCTGGACCCCAATGATGATGGCTATAATTCTTGTCTCACGTCTCGGGATGGAGGTCACTATGTCCCAGTCCATTTTGGCCAGAGGGACGTAGGCTCCGAGCACACAGGCGGTCACCACGATCCTGAGCAGGCTGGAGAGGATGTGCAGCATCGTTTGGCTCCTTCTCACATCTTTACACAACTCTTTGAGAAAGACAGAGCTGCTGTTCTCGCTGATGAGTCTCAAGTAGTTCTCCCACCAATTGAAAGACACCAAGAAAGCCCCACCAACAGCCAGACCCACCCAAATGCCCCTCTTGATACCAGTAGGATCCTTCATAATGTATAAGACGAGGAACAGGACGTAACCGAGCAAAATCAGGATAAAGGCAGTGATGGATGGTGCCAGGAAGCGGTTCCTTTCTTTGGCAGTGCACTGAGTGACCACCTGTAGGAGCGCAGAGAGGACGGCTACACCGTTCAGTATCGTCACGTTGGTCACGATGTCCAAGTGTGGCATTGCTACGATTGTGAGAATCGCTGCACCCAGAGACACGATGAACTCAAAGAACAGAACCTGCAGAAGAGAAGTAGAACATTTATAATACATTGAACACAAATCTCTCACCATCTTATGAGAGATTTCCTCTTTAAGCATCAGTTCAGCTTTACAAGTATCAGGGGATTGTTGCAACACAAACCTTTGCTCTTAGCTAGGGAGCTCGTAGGACATTGGGAGGTGTATTTACACTACTACTATAGGAGCTAGCATAGGAGAAGAACAACACATTCCAGTTTTCTACCAGTGACAAGATTTTCATAGAAGAGTTCCTGGTAAGTGTACTGAAAGTGAAGAGGCCTTTTAGAATTCAGCATTTAACTAAAAATATATTTTAAAGATAATATTTCAGGTAACTGTGCCTTATATGCCCAAGTCTGACTCTTGGTATTGGTTGGCCCACCATATCAAACTAGGTTTAGCTTGATGAGTTCGAAAACATTTTCTATGACATATAGAAGATTTTAGAATTAGTGAAAATAGAGCAGTGACAGTCACTGGCATAAACATTCTTCAAGGTATCAATCAAAAAGGTGAGAGTTAAGAAATCTTATTAGGTTTCTCACCAAAGCCATCGTTGTTTTGACCGGCACCTTTGAGGATTTATAACACGCCTTCCAGATGCTCTTTTGCAAGAGAAGCACACTGGACGCGATGAGAGAGCAGCCGATACACAGCAGAGCGACAGGTTTCTGCTCAGCCGGGAGGGTCTTGGTGCCTTCATTGGACAAGGTGATGAGGAGGGAGGAACGAAGCCTGGAGCAGAGAACAAAGTTGAGGCAAGACAGGAAGATAAAAGTGCTTCACAGATGTTATATTTGAGTTAACTCAGTTAACTTTTACCACTTTACTTACTTTATATACTTTGATATACCTGGATGAATACTGCTGACTAGTCTTGTTTTTAAACATACTGTAAAATTATATTTACTGTTTGTTCAACTGTTTGTTGTTTGTTGTTCAACTGTTAATGGGCACTTTCATTATCCCTTATACAGCCCCTGTAAAAGTGGAAGTGCTCACCAGATATACATTCTATTGAAATTATAGTTCCCATACAAGACCAGTGGATGATTTTGGTAAGTGAAAATGTTTTTTGACACAGTATAGGTCGATGTATGTATATAGAAACAAACCTTGCTACATAGAGCCAATCCAAACACAGTCACAGCAACTACACAGAGACTGACAGCCTTCAGTAGTTTGATCAGTTTCCATGGCGTCTGTTCATCTTCAATGACGGGGATCTCTCGGCAGGTGTCCCACGGCCTCCTGGTTAAAGACAACAAATGTCAAACTCTGATGGTGACTGCAGGTAGAAAATTAAATTGGTGGGACATAGAGAGAGAGAGAGAGAGATCTGCAAGAAGGCAGGAAGGAAAGGAGGTTGATAGGAAGGTTGTTAGTAAAGTAGGACGTGGAGAGAAGTGGTGGCATGTTTCTAGGAAAATAACTTGTTGGGTAAAGAGTTGGAGGATTGTAAATTGAATACGTATTAGATTACATATTGGCAGGTACAGTGAAAGGCAGGTGTGGATATATTAAACTGATAACATACATTTAGGTTTAAAAACAGGTAGAAAATAAACAAAATGTACACAAATGTTTAGCTTTATACATATTTATCATGAATAAAACAACTTTAAACAAATCCAATACAACAAAATGATGTCTAGATCTATAGAAGCTTACAGAATACATCACAGCATAAGGAAACAATGAGTACGTTGCTTTTTTTTAAAAAATAAGTGTGTAAAAATGTATTATAGATGCTATAGAAAATGACTTAATTGTTACTCTGACACAGTGTCAACATAAATTGAACATTATAAGCCTCACAAAGGTACTGTAGCTGGACTGAATCAGGTAGAAATTAACAGGTGCTCATATATTTGTAAATCTTGTAAACAATTTTATCAAAACCAGAAATTCTTCAGCTAGAAAACACAAATCTTCTTGAATTGATTTGAACACTTTAAAAGAAAGAACAACTGAATAATACATACAAATAATAACAATCTATTTTCTTGTTTTTCAAGAAAGCTTTTCTTCCGATAAAGCAATCAATTTATAAAAATATCCCATCCCTGCATAATTGATAATAATCTTCCTTTGATTATTACCTAATAAATAATTGATTTATATTAATAATAACAGCTATATAAAATAAAATAATAGAGATGCATCAGTTGTTCAGTTAAAAAAGATTCCACTCACTTGGGCAAGCTCCTGTCTTCCTCCATGTTTCTGACTGATGTGAGCAGTCTGATTAATTGTTGGTTTGTAAATAACGATGTATTCAGATTCCATCGTCATGACAGTCAAAGTCTCATTCAGCCCTTCATTAAATGGCAACACCCAGAACAGGGTCAAAGTGACTCACATTTTATACTTTCATTTCTTTTCAAAATGTAATTTATAATTTCATATTTTAATTATTTTCAAAGTTTGTTTTAAGGTCCAGTTTAGGTTCGGATCAGATCAGAACTCCCTCGTTTCATCCTCCCCTAGCAAAGATATAGGAGAAACTACGGTGGTCGTAAAAACTTTTTTTGTTTCTACTGTAGAAACATGGTGATTAGATATGTAGATTTAAAAGGATATAAAAACACTATTCCTTTATTCCGGTGATAATAAACTAATTAAAACCTACCTACCTATGAATATTATATTCAATTTCTTACTGCCAATAGATTCTCTTAAATATTAAACACTGGACCTTTACATTTTAACTGAACTGTGAACACTCTGGTCTCAAAGGTTAACAAGGAAATGAAAGTGCTCTTGTGGTTTTTACCATGCTGATTAGTCATGTTCGTCAGTGATTAACATTCCTCGCTGTATTATTCAAAGGCATCTTCCTGTGTTTCACGTCAATTATTTCATTGTGAAACATATTTCACACATTATACAACCGTCACATTGTATACGAAAACATTACATGTGATGGTCTTTCCAAAAACTACAAACATAATAACTGCATAACAGTATCTCATCAGATGGAGTAAGTGTCATTAATTCATTATTATTTGTATTTCATTCCCAGTGGACCTATTTTTGTAGCATATACATGTAATGGCATATTTTTTTTCTACTATAAAAAGATCACTTAGTCTTTTATTGTCTCGTCTGGTTAATGTAATCATAGAAAACACACAGGATATTGGACTTTAAGCTTTCAAACATGCTGCAATTCACAAGATGTGGCTGGAATCTATACAAAAAAACAAAACAAATAAGTGTAACTTGGGGATTTAAATAAAAAACCAACAATGTCACATGTACTGTAATATTTAATTTGTTAAATGTTACGTGTGATAAATTCAAAGGGACATGGTGTTTATTCACACTTAAAATGAAATATTTCACTTGAGAAATCTCAAATTTCAAATGATGAATTTCGCATAAATATCAATTATTTTATAAAGAGTCTCAGTCTTGGATCCTCCAAAGGACATAGCACATGGAGGTGTGAGGTTGGCCTCAATTGGTCAATCAAACAAAACAGGACAGTTTGAGGATTGTATGACCAAACTGTGCAATTAAAAGTATCCATTGCAGCACTGTGACACAGTTGAGCCCTGGTCTGCTTTAAAGCCCACACTGAATCAAGCTCTTACAACCTGTAGGAGCTATTTTTGACTATTATGTTGAATAAAATATAAATGAATTATCTTTTCTCTTTGTTTGCACCATGCATACTTGCACAGATATGATTTACATATCAATGTTGTGCATGTAAATCTGTTTTTATTAGATGGTAAATCTTGCTGCACTACAGAAAAGTGGAGCAAAAATGGGAACACACCCAGATATGTACTTCTTCTACTGTTAAATATCATTTAAAAGATGCTTTGGGGATTGCGGACAGACCTGAACTTCAGGCTGTGATTTTGTCACACAGACACAATGAACCCACAGATCTGCTGAATCATGAAATGAAATCTTGATTTTGTAAAAACAATATCTGATAACTTCAATATCAATGCAAGTTAAGAACTTCCTAATTGGATAATAATAATATCAAGAATAATAATAGCTTTTGTTTAAATTACATTTCACACACCTTGTCTGTGGTTCTCAGTCTACTACTCAATATCTTTAAAAACAGGCCACAAATACATACTTTTAGATTTACTTATAGACAAACAGACACATTTTAATCCAACAGCGCAACCCCGGACTCTGTCCTGATTGCATTTGGTTACTTCTCGCTTGACCTCTGACATTAGGGACGGATCCACTTGAAGAGGCGGGGGGAGGTGACAGTACCACTTCCTACATTATCAATCTGTACTTAGTTTGTTGGGTTTTCCAGTGTGAACAGACATATTGTTACAATTTCTGTATTAGTTGCAGTTGGGAGTGTTTCTCTGCATATTCATTAAGGTCAGTGTTTGGTCGATTCCTCCATCTGTCTGAGGTTGTTGTTGCTGGGACAAAAATTAAACTAATACCCTCAATGGCCACGTTCACACAGCAAGCCTTCGCTCTCAATTCAGGTTTACAATTCAGGTATACACAAAACAAAAGCTTTAAATACTCTCTCTCTGACACACAGACTTCTTTTCGTTTAAACTCACGACCCAAGGCCCTTTCTGTTTGTTTGAATAGAAGGTGTGTTAATGTATCAGTGCAGGTTTCAAGCATGAGTGGGTGTCAGTCTTGTGCATATGACTGTCATTGTGCAATCTAATTATTATTAATCTTATGTGCTGTTGCTGCTCTCTAGTGACATGCAGATGTAAGAGATTGCAAAATATGTGTGTGTATCGTGAAGTTCAGTTCTTCAGCTCCACTATATGTATACACACAGCTACCAGCTCTAAAATATGCCTGGCCACTCCAATCTGGCATCAAATGATGTCAAATTGAAGACTAATTTAGAT